AAGGTTAAGATAAAACAAAAATCTTTAACATTGTAACATCTTAGCTGAATATTTTAATATAACAAATTGTTCTGTAAATATTTCAAATGATTATCAAATTACTATGGACGAAGTAATGGTACAGTAAGTGTTAGGTAATTTCACAAAATATTGTACACCTTCGATAGCTCAGTTGGTAGAGCGGTGGACTGTAGAGGAATGTACAAATGGTTATCCATAGGTCGCTGGTTCAAATCCGGCTCGAAGGAATTTTTTGTTAATTTGCAATTTATTAGAATTTTTGATATATCAAAAATTCTAAGGATGCAAAACTTATCAAAATTTTGAAAAGTTGATTAGAGATTCTTTTTTCTTTATTTAATGTGAATTATGATTATTAAATATATGCGATCATAAAATTAGAATAGAATAACAATAACTGAAGTTACTAAATTTTAATTCAATTGAAAGTACCTATGTAGTAGCCCAATTTATAAAAGAAATATTTTAATGAAAAGAAAGTAATAAAAAAATGTGCACAAAAAATGTTTCCGCCCGGGATCGAACCGGGGACCTTGTGCGTGTGAAGCACACGTGATAACCGCTACACTACGGAAACTATACTGCTGTAGTCGAAAATTACAAACGTATTCTATTTTCATTGTTTCGATCAATATAATTTATAAAGATTGATTCACAATGATTAATTTGTCATTTCTATAAGTAAATGAATATGTATAATAAAATGATATGATTTCATTAAGAAAAAATATTGACTCAAGGTTTTTATTTAAACAGCTTACAATAAGATAATGTTAAAAAGCTAACACTATTAATAAGTAACTACTATATATAACATTTATAATATAAACTATGAGTAATTTAAAATACTATTCTATTATATAATACGAATCTGTTATTCCAAGATGACGCGATAGTTGTTTTATACTACCGCTACATGTCTTGGTATCTACGCTGTTTTATAATTGATATATAAGTGACAAGTGTAACGTAATAACCTAATAACACATCACATTACATTATTTATTTTTATTTAATCCAAATACTAAAAATCTCTGTTTCATTAAATAAAATAAGACATTTGTTATAGTAGATAATTTTTAATAATTCAAATTTGGTAATATACGTCCTCCAGGCTGAGATGATGATTATGATGATGAATATATGGTTTAAAACCTTTAATTACGGTCATTATTCCTGTTTGAATAATTTAATGTACATATATATTTAAAGTTATAAAATATAGGTTTAAACTGTATGTACTTACCTTCACAGATGCAACACAGTGGCTAGTAAGAAAAAATCCAAAAAAAGTTATTTTGAAAATGGAACGCGAACCACGGGCGCCTCTTATGGCGGCGCTCCTGAATCGGTTGGCGGGAACCGGGGGTGGGAAACTTATATACCATGACATACGTATGATATTATTGGCTTCCCGCTGAATATGGTTCATTACAAGGGAGTGGTTATGCCCATGCAATTGTGTTCGCACCCTTTCCTCATGTCATTTTGACATCTCCACGGGGCTAAAGACTATCCACGGAATAATGAAAATAAAGCATTGTATGCTATAGTCTGCGTGTTTGCTACAATAATTCGTTCCAAAACCATTCAGCAAAGCAGCAATGTACGATCACTAAATAGTTATTATATACGAATTGGGGTTGGAATAAATTCAAGGAAATATCGCGCGTCAACCATCTGATTATTTTCACGCTAGTCAAAGAAAATTACTTTGTATTCACAATCTGGCCCATGTTATTACCGTAAGTAGGTACTTACAAGTTATAAAAATAAATAGAACTGACGCAGTCTCAAGAAACCATAAATCCAATTAGATGTTTTCAAAAGTCTGTCCGTTTGTAATCGTCATAATTCTATTCTTTATTCTATACTAGCTGACCCGCGCATCTTCGTCTGCGTCATATATTTCCTGTTATTGCTCTTTATTGCAGGTCAGTGTCAGCGTGATGTTATATAATCTATAGCCTTCCTCGAGAAATGAAATATAAATTTAATATTCAAATTCGGAGCACCGAACATTACCCCGAATATCCAAACACAGAAATTGTACCTCTTTATAATAATAATTAAAACTAATTTAATATATAATAAATTTAATAATTATATTAAGAAATTTAGACACCAACAATTTACAAATAAATAATAACAATTAAAACTTTGCCCAAGTCTAATATTTAAAATTTATCCTATATCTTATATATAAATTGCACATTTGAAATTATCTTAGCTAACTAACAGCAATTGATTTGTATGTTATATCTTTATTATCGAAATCTCCAGAACTAATAATATACTCTGTAGCAAGGCAGAAATACTGATGAATTAAAGTATCTTATATAAGTATATACGATATACATACTCGTACATATATTATACATACGCTAGCGCGAGCTTCTAGCAAATACTGTGAAGAGGACCCTAGTTTTGTTTCGGTTCAAAAGTTCGAGTTTAAAAGTAAAAAACAACACTTACAAATAATTAATCTTTCATTATGTAAAAAAATACTGAAAATCCAATAATCTTTACCGTCTTACATAGAGACATTAGGGAAACTTACTTAGGCGGGGCTCTTTGTTACGCGGGGCCCCCATGCTACGCGAGACTCGTAGCATTTGCTACTCTTGCTATTAGGCAAATCAGGCACTGCATTTCCAATTGTAACTCATTAACATTAACGTTACACAAATAGCCACGTCTTATCTACTATAAATAACAATAGATTGTAGGTAATAACAATAAGGTAAAAAAAATAACCTTTGATGTATTATGTTTAGAATGCGCGGGCCCATTATTACGCGGGGCCCCATGTTACACGAGACCTTAGCAGGCTACTCCGGCACTGCATGTCCAATTGTAACTCATGAAAATTAACGTTACACAAATAGCCACGTCTTATCTACCATAAATAACAATAGCATGTAATAACAATAATTGTTTCAATTTAGCACAACAGCGGAATTGCGAGCTAAATCGAGATTGTCTCTAAGATAAAATGCGGACCCTTAACACGTGAATGATACACAAGCATGTTATCGTTTTATAAATAAACGTAGAAACTATTTACATTTAGTAGCTCTCTAACAAGTAACAAGTCTCGAAGTTGATATCCGGGACGATGTGTAATATTAAAAAAAAATGTTCAGTGGGATAAGGGGATTGTTAGTAATGAACCATGTCCTTCTTGACCTCCACGTGGTTCCCTCTGGAAACCATCGTGATAAATTCCTGGTGAAGTTGCCACTATTGGCTAACTGAACTGACCTCACACTCATCCTATCATCCTTCACTGGTGCCCCGCCAGCGTATGCCGTTTGCGCAGGCGAGTGCACCATTTCATTATTATCCCTTAAAAGAATATGTTCAGTGATAATAAGAAAATACCCTTTAGCATCTAAACACCGTATTCATTCTCTATGCATAAAAAGAATTATATATCTGAATTAACACAGCGCCATCTAGTCCAAAGCATTGCAGAGCTTGTGGTATGGGTACTAAACAACTGATATAAATACATAGATATATTTATATATATATATATATATATATATATTTGTAATTGCATACATAATATATAAATCACCCAGATCGACATAGTCATAGTCATCAATACAAAATGTTTGTTCCATGCGAGGTATCGAACCGCGACCATCTTAAGTAAGGCGGTGTACTAAATCGCTAAACCCACCGAGATGGTCATAATAGAGAATGAGTGCAATGTTTAATAAAAAAATGTACGTACTAATTTTTTACTAAATATTTATTCATTTATGCTGAGTATTGAGAAAATGCTGGGAAAAGCTCGCAGCCAATAGATCAGATTTGCTCAAACGCGTAAAGGAGGGTCGAAGGGTTTGCGATGATGCCTGGCTTCAAAGGCTTGCTGACAAGAGACGGAAGCGCCACCTAGGCGGCTCAGTACAGACTACTGCCAATAGTTTCCCTTGTCGGGCCTGTGGTAGGCCATGCCGTTCTCGTATCGGTTTATACAGCCACGAAAAAAGCTGTTCACGGACCATTACGCCATAAATCGTCTATAATAGACGCATACGCATTATACTATGCTGAGTATTTACTCATCATTGAATAGTGCAGTGCTAATTCTAGTTATCAATACTTACAAATAAGGCTCTATTCCAATGCCCCAAAGAAATCCACCGCATTGGGTAAAGAATGAATTTTTCCACTTATCTCTAAGATTGTACTGCCAGTACTGATCAGTGGAATAAAATTGCTATTAAATAATAGAACTAGTTTTGTATTCGTATTTGAAGTATTTTATATATACTAGTGATTGCCCAGTGGTCCAAATTCGACCATTATAATTTAACATTCAGTAAAACTATAGACTAATCTATTCTGTTTGACTAGACTTTGTAAATAAAAGAGTATATACACGCATATATACTCTTTTGTCAAATACATAGTACCTAGTGTGTGTAATGTGTTTTTGAGTTAATCTATTTTTAAGTATAAATAAAAGATATAATTGGTATTCTGCTCTCCTTCACTGTATAAATAAAAATTGTGTGAAATTTTATATTCCTCCGTCAAGAATTTACAAACTTTTTGCTTCACGTATTATATATTCCAATAAGTCGAGAACTACGCAAACTGAAAATAAAATCGATTTTGTAATTTACGAATATATTTCCATATTTACAGTTATAAACTGAATTTGAAATAGAAATAATATCCATTCAAATAAACTTAATACAGGCACTTTGAATAGTCATATTGTTTTTATTCTACCACTCATTTGGAACGCAGACTTATCACAAGAAGAAAAAGCAAAATAATTTTATTTAGGAACGAGGTAAAAAGGGGTTGCCATTTTCTGATACTCGCAGTCTTTCTCTTTGTATATACATAAATATGTGGCAGTACAATAATAAGAAGTTTTATATCCAAAACAAAAACTTGCGTGTTGCTCTTTTAAATATTATAATTATTATTTTGCATATATTATTTATTTGCAGAGATGTCAGTCGAAGGTGTAATGGTTTCATACAACTACTCAGAAGACGGCGAACATGCAAACATCCTGACTGTATCCGCTTCAGGTATAAAGTTCTCCAACCGCTGGGTCCTCACACACGGCTCCATCTTGTCACCATTGAAGCAAGCCCGCGTACTACAAAATTCGAAAGGCAAGCCAATATTAAACGAAGAATTCTATAATGATCTCCCAGAGATACATATAACTTGTGAGAAGAAACAATCCAAAGTGCCAAATGTGTATGAGGGAGTAGAGAAGCTCAGTAGAGAGAGGAATTTAGATAATGATGCAGACTTTGAGCATAGCAGTTATCAAATAAGAGTCCTGACGGGAAGGTGAGTAGACTTTTTTAATTGATGATTATGGAACCGTTCAACTGCCTGCTCTAACGGTTTACGCTGGCGCGGCTCCAGTGGAGGATGATGAGTGTGAGTCAGTCGGTTAGACTATCGTGACAAATTCACTTGTCAACTTGATGTTTCTGGTGCTGGGGATGGTTTGCAAGCGGAACCGCTTGAAGGTCAATCTGACATAGAACATTGCTAGCAATGAGTTAGTGCACATTACTAACGATCCCATTCCCTGTAAACTACCTAGTATAAAAAAAATTATTGATGCATTTAAGTGTCTTTGCCAAATGGTTTAATTTGACGGGCTCCATGGTCTGGCTGAAATGAAAACTGACGTGATCGAAATGACTTCCGTATCCGTTTACTATTAGATGGTAAAGGGATACGACGAGCATACAGGATGCTCGTTTGCCATCATCATAGTATAAAAAAAATGTTTTTAGCTGAAGTTTATTATAGTTATATGTTTACTTTAATTTATTCTCTTTTTTTCCAAATATATCCGATAACATTCTTCAAATAAAGTCGACTAGTAGAAAGTTCACTATTTCTTAAAATTGCTCTATGTTTCTAGGGTATGTCACGTGTGGCAGTGTCCTATTTTGGACCGGTGTGTTGACGATATCCTGTACAGCTGGACGATTGGCCACAGAGACGGCGATGTGGACAAACAGTCGCAATTAGGGAAGGCTCTGCTCTCTGTATTCGTGCTTGTCGACTTGGAAAGTGATGACAGAGGTATTATAGATTTATAGTTAACAATAGTTGTCGTTTCACGCAGAAAAACATGTGCGTACAGGCAGGTAGACAAAGAAAACGAGAAAAACCATATCCACGTTCAACAATCGTGCGTGCTTTTTGAAATAAATAAATATTTTTACACATGTGTAAAACACACAAAACACAGGTGAATAAAAAAAAAGTAAAACGCAATCACTCGCCATTGGGTGATCTGGGTTTCCGGCGCTCAAATTGCAATATTTAAAATAATTTATAAGTGTTATCGTGACGAGTCACTCAATGTCAGTGGAATTCCATCTACAAACGCCTATCTAAATATTAATAGCAAAGATTTGCTACTCGACGCTTTTGCGTCATAAGATTATAAGGTAATTTCTGAAGCAAAAATATAAACGCGAAGGTTTGTCAACACGGATGTATAAATGTTTCTTTCTCTTTCACGCAATACTACTGAACGAATTTTGATAAAACTTTACAGTAATATAACCTATACATTAGATAACACATAATAATAACAGGCTATAAATTTTAAGCGAGTGAAATCGTGGGCACAGCTAGTTAGTACATAAATTATATAAACTAAATATTATAAACTATAATTTTATGAATAATTATGTAATTACAATAGTAAATATCTATTGTATTAACTCTAATTTCACGCAATACGTCATTTTAGTAAACGTGAAAGTTCTTGTAAGGTTTGACCAGGTAACAAAGGTGTAAAAAAAATCATATCGAATTCGTTATTTTAAGATGCTGCATTTTTTCACATATTGCTCGTAACAGTATTATAGCTCTGCTCGTTGCCAACACATAACCCCCTAAACTATATAGAAATAAACTTACGTCATTTTAATAACGAATTTGATATGATTTTTTTTACACCTTTGTTACCCAATATACGGTTTCAATGAGTCTGGTAGGAAGGAACTAAGAAAACTGTCTGACAATTTAGGAAACTCAGTTTGAGAGAACTCTCAATAATATATATAAATTTATATTAAAATGACGTAAGTTTATTTCTAAAATAGTATAGTTTAGAGGGGTCCGGCGGGGGCTGGAACCACATTAAGTGTCTGGCAATGAGCAAAGCAAGTTATAATAATGCTACGAACAATATATGAAAATATGGAGTTTCTTAAAATAACGAATTTGATATGATTTTTTTTACACCTTTGTTACCTGGTACCTGCTAAAGGAACCACGATCCAGGTTTCATGTTTGGGGATCGTTCTTACCTGTGTTGGGGACACACATACAAGAACTTTCACGTTTACTAAAATGACGTATGTCTGGCCGTCGTGGGCTCTTGGGCTATAAAGACTACAACGAAACAAGAAGTAAGTACGTGCTGTATTTATTTGGGTTACTTTTCTTTCTGACCGCATGTGTGACGCATTTCTGTGAATACAAAATAAATTTATATAAATTTAAATTAACATACATTAGATTTAACATTAAATAACAGAAACAAAAGAATTATAGTAGACACATTAAAAAAATTAACAGTTGCCTAAAATATGGTATTACACGCAAAAGAATGCTACTAAATTAGTATCGACCCAACCCGGTAGTAAATCCATTGAATTTGAGACATGAAAACATAGTTTAATTGTAATAAAAGCAAATTACCATCTCTGGGATCTGCGACCAATGTGTAATCCCACCTCCAAGACCTAACACTGTTCATATGTGACGGCGGATTTGGGAACAACTCGTAGCAATTGTCGATAGAGTCCTTCTTTATCATGCCTATAACACCCAGCGCGAGTCCACCCAGGAGTACTGCGTGCTTACTACCTAAATATGCAGCCACTATAGGCCCACACGAAAAACCACCTGAAATATTTTTGGATACAAATAACAAATATTTATATTAAGTGGGGAGATATTTATTCTCTATAAATTTTAATAAAGGTTTGCACATTTTTTTGCTTTCTTTCTTTCTTATTACTGCACTACAACTCTTATCAATAATGCCTAAAAGTTAACTGGGTGCCATACGGTACTAGCTCGACTATTGCACAAGATTTATAGTTCAAGAAAAAATAAAAAAAATATTCATAACCATCATAATAAGAAAGAAATACAAGATTCTAATGTACAAATATATGTACATATTTAACTAGCGGAGCTGGATGTAGTACTGCTCAGCAAAATAACGCCATCTATCCGGTCAAAAGGTATTTTGAAACTATTTAGCTGTTAGGTAACATATATATTTATATATTGCGTATAATAGAATATTGTAAATAGGAAATATAAATAGATAAATAGGATTCTAAGAATATATACAAACTAACTTCAGTTTCTATTTTAGACTTTACTAATTTTGGAGATATCACAAAAAGTAGTCTGTCTGTCGCTATCCCAAGCGTTAAGAATTCCCCAAAATTTCATGATGATTAATTAAGCTGCAATAATGTCACAGTATTTACTCAATTTTAGACCGAAAACGGAATAGATTAACTGTATGACAGATGATATGGTAAGAAGTAAATAACGAGATTACAGCGAACAGAGATGAATGGAAGAGAAAAACATATTACGCCGACCACAAATAAATGCGATAAGGAAGAAACAGATGATGATTTACTCAATTTTAGTGTTGATTATACCTTTAAATTTTAAATTATATCTTATATTGTAATTCTATTATTATAAGCATTGCTATTCCAGTTATATAAAAAAGTAAATTAACCAATAAAATAATTCCAAACATCGTCTACGTCGCGCGCTTTCTGCACTCCATTAGCTACAGCTGCGAAGGTCGCACCTATGAGTCCAAGAGGCACTGTGTGGTACATATACCTGAAAAGTTAAGAAAATAATAATAATTCAGAACAATTTACACAGCGCCAATACATTAGGAAGAACTAATATTGTTAAATAAAAACAGGGGTTGATAATAAAAGGGTGAAAATTAGACTATGTGTGTTTTCAATGCTAAATCATATAATAAAATAAAAATAAAATAACTATTGTCTAAAAAGAAATTTTGGGGGGTGGGTCACATTTATCATTGAGGGCTATGAAAAATGGATAGTAGCCGATTACCAGACCTACTGAATATGCATATAAAATTGCATAAAAATCCGTCTATAAAACTTCGTCTAGAATCACTATCTTTAAAAAAAAAACGCTTCAAAATCAGTTGCGTAGTTTTAAAGATTCAAGCATACATAGGGACGGACATACTCAAGCCGTTTCGGAGGAGTATAGTAACTAACATTGTGACACGAGAATTATATATAATTATATATAAGATAAGATAAGCGTACTAACATTTAGATTAATATTTAGACCGCAACAACACACCTTTTCAATATCGGTCCGAAACCAACTGCGTGCGAGTACATCATGACGTCATAGGTGGACATTATAAGCCCTGTGATAATGCCGTAACGACTTGTCACCATTACCTAGAAAAACAAAAAGACACTGCGCTGAATAATGTAAATATGTAAATTTAATGATGCATTAATAGAGTCCTTATAAACACATGAGTGTTTATTATAATTAGGTATGGACCTAATTATATTTATTTAAGATATAAAGGGGTCCAAAAACGCTACTTTACAAGAATCTTCTAAGTTTAATAAGCTTAAGTTTTGAGGGCGTAAGGACGAAGGGAATTTAAGAAAATATACTTACCTTTTTTAGAATATCGCATCCATCAGGGGTATCATAGTATCTGTAATAGTTACGGGTGTCAGTACCGCATTCACGTGGCATGATCACAAGGCTAATGACAATTTATTAATTTCTTAATAGTTTTTAATATATGACATTTACAATTTTTTTTTCTCTATTAAATTACTTGTTGCACGCCTGCCAGTGTCCACTCATATTTTTAAAAACTCCAATTTACTTGTAAACATGTGATTACACTATGGGTATGAATGATATCAAATAAATAATAATATTATTGTAAATAAGATACTTACCTATATAATGCTAAATAAATGTATTTATTATTGTGTACATACAATATCTGTGAGGGAAGTTACCTCCGAACTTCTCTCTTTGACAGAGTTCCCAGTTGTGTACAAGTAAATAACGAAGAATAGCAGATAAACAAAAATATATTTCCGAACAAGATAAAATTATATAGATACATTATACGGATACTTGAATATGAAGGCAGACAAGATGACAAAATACTTTCTTTTCAAATATTCAAACATACTTCGTCTGCTAGTTATCGATTACAAACATCGTTCTAACAATATCAGTACATGAATTCGTGAATTTGCTAATAGGTTGAGTGATCTGACTTCATCCACCACTGGTACGCCTCCAGGGTATAACTTTAACGAATCCTTTATTTCTCGACATAAAAGTTAAGAGTCAGATTTATAACAAAAATAGTCTGTCAACTGTCATCACCAAACATAGTCTGGGCGACCCCGACATAGAGTGGTCGTGGTATTATTAAAGAGCTCTCGATATTTGGACGCTGTTACAAACGTCCTGGTCAAGAGAGATGGCGCTGAATGTAAATAATTATTACGCAAACAAATCTGTCTACCCGCTTTCTTGGTCTATTTCTACATCACCACTTCTACTGGAAAACACTTTATAGTCACGACAAAACACACGCACTGTATCACTTCGACTTTTTAAGCATTACACTTATATTTAAGTATATCTAACACTGGATTCATAAAAAATATCATAGTGAATATTTCGTTTATATAATGTATACAAATTATAAACAATCTTATATTTTTTTTTCAGGATTAAAAACATTAAGGCCTCTATCAGAGCTGTTAGACTTGGTGAAGCCACCTCCTGAACGAGGGGCTCCTGTAGAAGTACATTCTACACCATTTGGTTGTGAAGTAAGCTATTGAATTTTTATGTTTTAGTTACGTTGCTTAAATAATTAAACTGTTATTAGAATTAAGGGGTTTGTGTGGGGTGAAAGTTGCGCCAGTCATAGACAAGTTGCAAGATAACAGATTGAGCTGGTATGTCCATGTTTTGCTGAGGAACGAGGATCATGTCTTATGGAAAGTGTATAATATGAACGTGGATGGATGGAATGGAAGAGGACGCCGTACAAAAAGATGGATGAATTGTGTGAAAGATGATATGAATAAATGAAGAGTGTGCTCAGATATGACGGCCGATAGAGATCAGTGCAAGAGAAGGACATACTGCGCCGAATTAAAGGGATTGGAATCCTTTCATGCATCATACCTGTGACCTGTTATATTAGTAAATATATCTAATAGTATCTAGTCCCACGCTAAACTGAGCTTGTGTTATGGGTACTATACAACTGATATAAATACTTAGGTATTTTTTTTTTATAAATACATACATAATATACATAGAAAACATCAGAGGGATACAAACATTTATACTCCTGAATACAAATGTTTGTACTGTGTGAGGAATCGACCCGCGACCATTGGAAGTAAAGCGGTGTGCTAAATATTATGCACATTGATTTTAGAATAAGAAGTGTATTTCAGCACATATAAAATTAGTGTTCCTGTTGTTAAGTAACAGATATGTGTAACGTGCAACTGTCATGGAAACAAGATTATATAAATATTTCTATATATGATGATTTGTGGATATATACCACTGTATATCTCCATCACTAAACCGCTAGACCATAAGGGCCGTCATATATTTATTTACAAAAAATGCATTGCAGGTATTTCTCAATGGTGTGACAAGAGGTTCCGTCTGCGGCGTGGTAGGTAAGAAGCCATCACTTCTACTCACCGACGCTGCAACAGCCTTGGGTTCTGAAGGCGGGCCTGTTTTTAACGAAGGACCTACGTAAGTGGCTAGTATACTATTAGTTTTTTATTATATATTCTTTATAACACTTAATACATTATTTAGGTATGTTCATTAGAAATAAGGTACAACGGAACACTTATCTCTAAAAGAGATCTCTTCCAGTCCAATATAGCGTGGCAGGAGAAGTGTCGAGTCGACAGTCGAAGAGTCGACAGGGTCGAAATGTACAAATAATAATTTATTAAAAATGTCATATTCATCCAGGATTTTTTTTGCGCATTGTTATATGTTTTTAATGCCATTGAGCTATAGACTGTGTATTAGAATAAATATTTACCTAACCTAACCTAACCATAGACTATTGACTACAAAATCTGCATAAATGAAGTAGGTAAAAATTCCTTCAAACAAGAATTAAAATTTAAAAATTCTTATTGTTATTATATGTGCAAATTAACACAGCCTTTATGTTATCCAACTTACTAGTTGAAAGATTACAACTATTCCAAAAATAGAATAAATGACAACAGTGTTTTCCTAAATAAAGAATGACGGCGAAGAATTGATGAATAAAGACCACAAATGTTCTATCTTACCTTTTGAGTTTGTTTATCTGAATTTTATTAGATCAGATTTAATTAGGATAGTATCATATTATCAGCCCTAATTTATCTGATCTGATAAAATTCCATTCCTGCTTAATCCGTCGTGCAATTTCCCAGACTTGCCTTAGGCGAATGCACTTTGTGCTATGCCATAATAAAAAATTGGAACGTTCAAAATTTCAATATGATATAAGAACTTTTTTCGTCATAAAGACTATGACGAAAAAACATATTTATTTATTATTAAAAATAAAAATGACTGACAATTAAAATTTTTAATGTGACTGTGCTAAAAAGCAAGATAGCTTTATGCTTTATATAAAATAAATTAAGAACATCAAAAACACACAGACATGGCTGTATGGGCGTAGTTCCCTTTGCCTTTAATTTTAAGGAGAAAACAAATCTCTTCTGTTTTAGAAAGGAGTTGATAGGCACCGTTGTATGCAGTGTGTCATGGTGGCGCGGAGAATGGGTGGGTCTAACCTTGGTGGCACCCCTAGGCTCAGTGCTCTCTGCGAAACTGAGAGTAGCACCTCCCAGCGTGCCCCGGTCGCAACCTACGCACCCCCACACACAAATATTAGGTGAGATAGAGAAACATGTAAGTGGTTTTTTTATGCTACGATGGTGGCAAACAAGCAGCAGCCTATACAGCCTATCTGATGGTATTTACCATCTGATAATATCCATAGTCCATAGGCTATGGTAACTAAAAGATTACTGTAGCCTGACTCCTGTAGAAGAGATCCATAAATAATTGGACTATGGTACACACAGTAGACATTTATCACTCTCATAGTTGATGCAAGAGGAAGAAATAATGTCTACAACAGATTTTAAATAAGTTTTTTGAGGCATTCATAAATCAAGTCAAGGATGAAATTACGGGATAAGAGGCATTACTTCTTAGTCTTCTAGAATGGCAACGCATGAGTGGTATCGCTCATGCGATGATTTGGTTACACAGTGTTCATCTTATATATATATATATAATTCTCGTGTCATAATTTTAGTTACCATCCTCCTCCGAAACTGCTTAACCGATTTATTCAATAGTAGGCCTGAGAATCGGCTTCTATCTACTTTTCATACCCCTAAGTGATAAGGATTGCCCATCCCTGACACTTTATTTTATGGATAAATTTATTTTTTAATTTTTTATAGTGTTTGGAGGATTATAAGATGAGCATGAGGTCAGGTCAGTTAGGCCATCGTTTGTCACGATTCATCAGGAATTTATCACAACGGTTTCCTGGAATGGCCTGGAGGTGAACCTCAGATGGTACATTGCTGGTAGTTGGTTCATTACTCCCCATTACTAATAATAAGGGGGTAGGGAACCCCCCTGTCTAATATATTGTGTTCATTGGACAGGTCAAGTGGACACGTCGGTGGCGCTGGTGCGCTGCGGTATAGCTTGGGGCGCCAGTCTGTACCTGGGCGGAGGATTCTTTCTTACCTGCGCACACGTCGTCAATAACGTAACTACTATTAGGAAACTCTACTTTTTAATCTGATTAATATTATAAACGCAATTTGTATATGTGGATGGATGTTTTTGGCTGATGATTTATTGTTGTTATCCTGGAAACCATCCTGGTAAATTGTCATTTTCTAAGATGGGCTAACTGACCTGAATTCATACTCATTTTATCATCCTCCACTGATGCCCTGCCAGCGTAGGTACGCATCATTCCATCATCATCCATAAAAAAGTAGTTATGCATATAATCTGTATTATTAACCGAAACACCTTATAGAGCGAGCAATGTGACGACTGATATAAGGATACTTACCTTAGTGTCTCCACGCAGACGACTTATTACAAAGTCTACTTCTAATTTAATTCAGTTTGTATTAATATAAAAAAAATTAAAATGTTATACTGAACAACATTTAATAATTCCTTTTTTCCGTTCCTGATGAATAACAGAATAAAAAATTCCTTATAGTGAGTTTATTTGAGTAAAGATTACGGTAGGGAAAAATGTTAATACAAAAAACTTGACGTTCAAGGTTTTTGTATTAATTCATTCATTCATTCATAATTTAAGAGCTACGCTCTTGTCGGTGGAGCTCTTGCCACTTTCCGCGATCTTTCATCATGCTCTTTAATTCTTGATACGACACGACTCCCATTTTGTCCTCAATTTGTTTGATGTAGCTATTCCTTGGTCTTCCCCTCCCCCTCTTTTCTTCTATTTTCCCCTCAATAATAATTTTCATGAAATCATCGTGCCGTATCAAGTGTCCTAACATTTTTCCTCGTCTATTTTCTATTGTTTTCAATATCTGCCTTTTTTCTTTTACCCTGTATAGTACTTCTTTGTATTAATATTTGGCTAAAATGTTTTACAAAAATAAATTATTTCTGATTTGATTTGTTTTTTTTAATACTCTGATACTATTGGCCGCAGCTGGTCTTTACAGCTTCACTAGACGATAGGGGACGAGTGCAGATGGCACTCCAAACCCAAGGAAGAACTTATGGATCGGCTGAAGGCCTACTCCTGCCTTGGGGTTCGAACTTCGGCTCAGGCCGTCGTAACTTTGATGGAATGTTTCAATTGGACGGGGTAGGGGAAATTCATTTGATTATTTCTGTTTCAATTGTAATAATTTCATTTAATTCTGTTGTGTGTCTAGTATGCATCGAACAAAGTATCTCTGTACTGCGCGGGAACACGTAACGCTGCAATCGTGCGCTACAAAACGAGAACGGATCGCGCTTATGACCTGGCGCTGCTCTATTCCAACCCTGAATACTGGACGCACCTTCAACCCGCTACCTTCGCACGCGAGGCTGCTGAAAAAGGTAACAGCCACCTGTCCGTTTAACAATCCCTAAAGTAGAGATGATTGTTAGTAATATAGACTGTTGACCTCATCGCTAGCAATGTACCATGACAAGTTGACTTTCATGCGGTTCCCTCTGGAAACCGTCGTTATAAATTGGTGGCGAATTTGTCACAATGGGCTAACTGACCTCATGTTGGCCTCCACGCGGCTCCCCTTGGCAATCTAGATACATTGCTTGTGCATTTGTAACGATGGGATAACTGATCTCACCCCATGCTCATCTTACCATCCTCCACTGGTAGCTTACACCGATACCGGTCCTGCTCGCGTATTAGCGCACCTGCCTGCACCATTCCATTATCATATATTAAAAAAAAATCTAAATCGTTACTCATTCGTGTAGCGTGGTCTGGTGGTGCTTTTTTTTCTATTAATTAAAAAAGTACATTCGTGTATTTTCATAAATTGAATTCTGAGTTAGTTATTTGAATAAATAACCATGGACATTTAACACAGCGCCATCCAGTCCCACAGTAGCACAGTAGCAGAGCTTGTGATATGGGTACTAGACAACTAATATAAATACACCGATACAAACAATCATACCATACTCATGAATACAGATATTTACACCGCCGAGACCGTCATTACGTATTTATTTTAATTTCAGTGCAATTATAGTAGATTTGGCGAACTTAACACTTTGCGGCTTTTCTATTCCATTCTATGCTTTATTAAAAATTCAAAATTCTTTATTAATAGTACCTCAATTTTTAGTACGTACACTGCTGTTGAAGACTCCTTTTAAGCATAGAGATGCCTGTGCCAAAAGGCTCCACTCTTACATAGCTTATATCATAACTTTTATTGACCTTTGTATTAGGTGAGCCGGTGATAGCTGCAGGATACCCTTACTTCAATGAGCAGCACTTGGAACACCTGCGTCCGACGGTGACCGCCGGCCACGTCAACAACGTCTCACCATCCATGCTCCAGACGTCATGCTGCGTGCAGTCAGGCTTCAGGTATATATATGTTTAATTCTTTGATATTTAGAGACTTATGTACAAATTAAAACACATGCCAGTCCCACTGTACCCTAAACCTAATTGCTACATCACTTCACCAGTGAGCAAATTGCCTCCGCACCATTCGAAGAGGTGTAATATTTATCCCATCAAAAACATAAATGTGAAATGATAGCCGAGTTTAATATTATGATATATGGCTTGATTGTTGACTTCTACGACAAAAGAGATGAGATCTAAATGGGTGCCAAGTTCAATGGTCTGTCCTGAAATGTATTTATAACAATATAAAATATCATTTCTTCTTATAACTTACGATAATATACTGTAGCCTAAGGTCTAACTTGGCCAGTTCTCATATACCAATTATTACTTTCGATTGCTAGTTACTATTAATATTAAAATAGGAACCGACAAGTAACATGTTTAGAACTTGCGAAGGCTACAGTATATTTCGTATATGAAAACTAGCCAAGTTAGACCTTAGGCTACAGTATATTATCCTAAGTTATAAGAAGAAATGATATTTTATATTGTTATAAATACATTTCAGGACAGACCATTGAACTTGGCACCCATTTAGATCTCATCTCTTTTGTCGTAGAAGTCAACAATCAAGCCATATATCATAATATTAAACTCGGCTATCATTTCACATTTATGTTTTTGATGGGATATCATTACTTTTTGTACATAAATTATACGAGGTACTTATTTATAACTAAATTAATACCAAATTATTTTTGATAAATTACTGTATTTTCGTATATTTACGGGGTATAATTGTCTTTTTTTTGTGTTATTTTCTATATTTTCTTGTAACTTTTAAATGTTCAAGTGCAATGCCAATTCAGTATCAGGAATTTTTGGGCAAATCGGGGCGGTATAACGTCCACAGATGGTTGTACTCTACAATAGAGCTCTCGTGACTTGGATCTAAATTGTTAAGACGTACTCCATCTAAGGTTTTAACTCTGGAGAGTCCAACGTAAACCTGCTCTTTATTAAATATAGAGGAGGCTATGTTGAGAAGAGGACTGCCAAAACTAAGGCCTTGTGATTTGTGGATAGTAATAGCATATGTTAAGCAAATACGGAATTGTTCTCTATCAACATATACATTATTTAATATCTGAAACTTCGTATTGACACGTTATAGTTCGTAAAGACGATTATGTAACAAATTGACTGTTATCTATTGAATTCTCAAGAAAACAATTTGTTACCAATAAGTTCTCATTCTCGAGTTAACTGTACATTCCTACTTATAACTATACTAAAATTGTTATTAATTTTTGGTTTAAACTATTGTCTATACCATACGTATTTACTAAAATAATGTAATAATAATATAATCACAAATATATAAGTATAATTTAAGAAAGCTATAAATTTCGTAGCATAAATCGCAACCTTATAGGTTAGATATCCAGAAACAAAACATTGAGTTTTATCGCACCGCTCCCACACCGCGCCGCCGCGGCGCCCTATACCGAAATGCCTATTATTTAATAATTATTTATAAAAATAATGATTTTACACTATCGATGTGCGCTAAATATTGAAACAATAATTAATACCAAATCTCAGTTAATACCATAATAAATACGAAATTCGACTATACTCCTAGTTATAAGTACGAGTATATTTTAGACAGAATCTAAATTATAGCAACTAGTGTTTACCGCTCAATGCAATATTTGAAGTTTGCTAGTTATCGACACTGATGTGAAGGGGTCAACGTAAATTGGTAATGATCGACGTTTTCATACAATATTACTTTCGGTCCAGTACAAGATGATATTTTTCGCCATGGATCAATGTCAATTGGTGCCTATCGACGTTTTCATAGAATTTTAGTATTCGTCCAGTATAAGTTGAAATATAATCAATTAAAGTGAAAAATTGTAGTAAAATGATAACAATTTACCAGTTTCAGATTTTTTCCTTTATATTCACCTAATTACCTATCTGCATACCAAATTTGAACTTCCTAGGTCATCTGGAAGTGGGTTATAATTTTGATCTATAGTTGATCAGTGATAAAAATGACGATTTTTGGACATTAATATCTAAATAACCGTTTGAGATATGTTTATGAAATTTGGAACACATATTTATCTCGCAAGTCTCAATATATGAACCAAATTTGACAGGTTTGTGTGAAAGAGTTTTTGAGTTATGAGGGGGTCAAAAGTGGCTCCAAATGGTTCGTGTAAATATACACACGGTGCTGCAAGCCAGTTTACTTGAAACTCGGCTTGACACGCTGCCGCGTGTCTAGATTTTATTTATACTCTTTATTGCACCAGATAGAGAAAATAATGAAAATAATTACATAAACTGATACAAACTGATATAAACATACATATATTTAATAGTGAGAAACGTCAGAACGAATGAACAAAAGAATGGAACAAAGCAAACAAAATGAACTTGAAGGAAACAAAATGGAATTTGACAGAGACTTTGAAAGTGGCAAGGGAGTGAGTTAACCTTCTTTAACCTGACGACATGGATAAAAAAGGATTTAGAATAGAAGGAAGTGGAATGAGTGGGGGATCTGAGAAAACGTACATTATCTTATGGATGATAATGGAATGGTGCGCCCGCCTGCGCTAACGGTATGCGCCGCCGGGGCACAAGTCGAGGATAATAAGATGAGACGTGAGGTCAGCTTAGTTAACCCATCGTAGTAAATAAGAATAGGAGTATATTTGTTACATATTCACCGCTAACTGATCTTAAAGAAATGTTATATTGGAAGAACAAAGGCTATATTTTATCTTGAAAAAGACCACAATGACGTCGCTGTAATCAGCTAATTATTTAGGTTTTTAATTGTGTGTTGTTGTATGAATATATACAAAAATTATATTATTATATATATATTCTTATTATTATTTACTGTATAGTAGGTATATATTTATTTTTATGTAAGTACTATATATTTATACGTTAAGTAAAATTATAGGTTTGTCCTTTCTCACCACGACCCATCAGCCGCTTTCTGTTCTTACCTAATGATTAGCTGGTAGAGAATGCCATATGGCATTCATCACCATTATTTCGGCCCGGAAGACGTGCACTGCTGAATGAAGGCCATATGGCATTAAGATCACCAAATTGTACATTTTTATAAGTGCAATAAAGAATCAGTAAATAAAAAAACATTATTAAATTGTATATTATGTCCTTAGCGGAGGTCCAATATTTCGCGTGTCATCCGAGTCAACAATAGAAGTGCTAGCAGTGGTTGTAAGCAATGCGAAGACTCATACCGGCGCCTGCTACCCATATATCAATATGGCGGTACCTGTCAGGGCATTCATGCATTTGATACAAGACTTCATACAGAATAAAGGTATAGTTTTTAGCATATTAACACTTTAGTAACCACATATCCGACATGCGCGACAACGTCGCCCGAGGCACGTTATTATTGATCTCATGACCCCATAGCGGCAGTTAATATCTCTACAGGTCCACCCGTTTCATCCCTATCACGGTGTCTTCGCCGGCGAGGACGGTGTCGTGTGTCACCGTCCTCGCCGGCGAAGACGACGACCTCAACCAAACCATACCGCTCAATCAACCAGGCGCTCCGCTGCCCCCGGTCGCCCCTCCAATCGATCCTCCGTCCAATTCAAACGGAGATCGAAATTACGACGACCTGAATCGGAATTCTAACCTCTAGCTGTGCCCTCAAACTAAAGTCTAATCTTTCAGGCGGGAGTTGACCTTCAGCCGCTCCATAAGTCCTTCCGTGAGTTTGGAGTGCCATCTGCACTTGCCCCCTATCGTCCGGCGAAGCTGCTGCGGCCAACAGCATTAGAGTGGTGTACAAAAAAACTTTAGTAACCTATGACGAGTTAACTCGTCTTTTCATAAACGATTTAACTCATCATTGCTCTTGATAATGATAATAATGTGTTACAGGACGGATATGGAGATATTCAGTGGATATACAGCAAAAAATATAATTTACTCTTGATTTCATCAGAGTCCTTCGTAAGACTTGTGTTACTTAGTAATGTATCAGTTATGTTACTTAGCAACAAGAACACTAATTTTAAATCCATCGGATATGCTTTTTATTCTACAATCAATGTTCAAAATACGGTCCCTAATTTAATACACTCTACATTTAAATATCATACATACTACTAGCCGTGACCGCGGTTTCACCCGCATTAAATTTTAATATAAAATATAGGCTATGTGTTATTCTGATGCATAAAGTAAAGTGTCATCAAAATCCGTTCAATAGTTTTTGCGTGAAAGAGTAGCAAACATCCATACTTACAAACTTTCGTGTTTATAATATTATTAAGATTAAAGTATAAAATAATACACATAATAATAAACAATAGTAGCAAAAACCAATTACATATAAAATTAAATCTGTTAAAATACTAATTACTAAGTATGACACAATGTCGTGGATCTGTTTAAAGACAATAAGTAGGTAGGGCGGTTATAGTCAAAGCATGTGCCACTATTATGTCTTGTAAAAGAAACTTCAAAAACATAAATTTGATTTCTTAAATATAGTATTAATATTAGATATTTACATATTTACTTAATTTATAGGTACCAATCGTATTAATTAAAAATACAGTTGAATCCGTTTGTAATGACATCGAAGTGAATCGACAAACGCGTCATACTAAGCGGACGTCGTACAAAGCGTTTTGTGTTTTTTATATAAATATGTATGTACTTAAGTATTTTGATGGAGAGACGTAGTAACTACATGTGTATACATATATATTAAATGATAATAACAATTGCAGGTAATCAGTAGATTATTATACATACAAGTGTATTTACATTAACATGACATCATATAACATGTAATCTGTAATTTTTGCATTTGTTTTTTCATTTTATTGTAAAACCAGATCTATTACTATTGTGTATAAAAGACATCGCTTTGGTCAAAATATCATTTTCAATATTGCTATGAACAAATCGAGATAATAATTCTGGAGATTTTAATGCCTCCTCTGCGGTAGGTAATAGTTCTTCCTCGACTTCCTCTTCCCCATCACTTTCGAGTTGTTCCTTAGAATTAATGTTCTGTACGATATTTTCATTGGTGGGTTCTTCGAATGTGAGGAGAGCGCTATCGATATCAACATAATTTTCCTACATTTCCGGTGCTGCTAGAGAATCTGAATTTACGTTTACTGACCACAAAGATAAAGGGACATCATCTGCTTCATCAAATTCGTGTTTTAATATTTGAATAGTTACACCGTCGTGGCTTTCAATGAATCCTGCATGTTTGAAACAGTTGTTAATGGTACTTTGTGACATTTTATTATTAAAGAATCATGCCGCTCATAATAACTGGTCATAATTTATTAAAAATGGGTCATAATAAGCGACATGTCACTGTAAGGAAAATCATTATATCCTTTTTTTATAAAGAATTTATATGAAAACCAAACTCCGTAGTGTAATTACGTCATAATAAACGGTTGGTTAATGTAGGCGGAATCATAATAAACGGATTCTACTGTATATTGTAGTCGTTATCTCATTCAGAAACTAGATGGCGTTGTAGTCACTGAAGTCTAATTTAACGCAGCAAGCTGCCGACTAACAAGTCAGAACTATATGATAAGATAATAATAATAATATATTGCGGACCGAAGCGGAGTCGTTAGCAATATTTCGAGATTACAATAGCCCTTGTAATCTAGAAATTTTATTACAGTAGGTATTTAAGTAGTAAGTATAAAAGATAAAACGATGTTACCTTAGTGCTTCATATAATATCAACATTATTTTTATTTATAAAAATAAAAGGAATCCTAATGAAACTTGACTTGAAGATATATTCCATAACAAGGACGGACATAGGCTTTCCTTTATCTAAAAACAAAGCAGAATAAGTTGAGTAATGAGTAGTCATATGTAAAGACGGTGATTGCCATTTACGACCAGGTAGCCCACTTGATGCGTTTTTTTTTTCAATCCAATTAAAATTTTAATCTAAACTGTTAGAAAATAAAATATGAACATATTAACGGTCTCACAGACGTAATCCTGCCCGGAAAAGAATCATCACAGAATCCTTTGAAATATACACACAAAATTTTATCCAAATCGGTCCAGCCATTAAAAGGAATTAGGTGACAAACATACGTAGTTATTAATCTTTCTTCATAATACGTTCTTTTATGATTCGGTATTAAAATACATCCTAAGTTATCACCCTTCTATATAAACCCCTATTTTTCAATTGTGATATTAATTTATATGGCAAAACAATGCTTGCCTGGTCAGATAGTTTTGTATATATAATATAAAGATATTTTGTTCATTTCGCAGATGTCAGCAAGTTGTCATCATTAGAAAACAACACAGATGTGATCCAGTCGCAATGGAGGTTACTGCCGTATAGATCTAAAATATAGGACAATTAAAATGTTAAAAAAAAAAATTGTGGGTCAGTCAGAAATTACTGCCACTGGGGTGAAGGAAACGGCGATAACAAAACAAATTTATTCGAGAGACTGAGGTAGACTCCCGCCCCTGGTTGGTTTCATATATACGCAACAGAATGAGATCAATATACTTTTTTAAAGTTGACGAGGTCATTATTTATACATATAGATAATATACAATATACGGTATCCACGTTTTATTTATTTTTATTGAATTTCTAATATTTTGACATGTGTCAACCACTAAGATCACGGGTCAACTGAAGGGTACATGGGAAATATAATTGAATAGAAAGTGTCATGTTCATCTACTTTCACACGTCTTTGTTTGTTGCTACTAAAGAAACCATCTAAAACATTGAAAATCTAAATCGCCGAAATGTCGGTAACTCATTAGAAATAAATAAAACGTGATAAGATTCCTAACTTTATGAGTTGTATAAACTGAGAGCAAGTCAAGTATTGTCACGACAAAATATGACTGACATCTGGGATAATAGTCATGAGAATATGTTAAATTGTATATTATATAATACATATAAATATATATGTATATGTATTATAAAATTCTCGTGTTAGTGTTAGTTGCCAATAGTTGCCATACTTACCGAGGACTTAATAGATTTTGATAATATTGTATATGTAAACTCAGTAGGTCGGAGAATAGATTGTTATCTATTTTTTCTACCCCTAAGTGAAAAGTACCCACCTCCATTATATTTTTTGTTATTATTTGGCATAAATAATTTGTATGTATTTCACAATACAATACAGGAGTAAACAATGTAGATGGCAAAAAGATAATGTAGTGAAATTACACAAAATTAATGAATGCGCGATTTGCCTTCTATTGATTTGAATGATGAAATAGAGATTATCTAACAAGATATTAATATATCTCGTCGGAAGTAATCGCTATTTAGCGATAACGCCGCCCATTGTTACCTCTATATTATAATTATTTTGTTATTATTTTCATATTTAATGTACATATTAATTTATGTAATTACTCTTTCTGTGAGAGGAACAATAAAGTGTTTTTCATTCATTTCATTCATTCACTCGTTAGATAATCTCTATTTACGAATTATATTAAAATATATATAGTTATAATTAATTATAATTATCACTCAATAAGGGTGAAATTGATAAATTTTAAACTTGGCTGGTTATATCGCATTTAGATTATTTCTGTTTACATTTAACATATGGTTGATTTTTGTACAACTATACGATTACTAATTTATCGATTATAATATATATAGGCATAAATGAATTGTTGTATTTATGTTTTTGTATATGATTGAATATATACCTATTTATTTTGTTTCCTGTTTTATTCATCCAATAATCTCTGAGTGTATGTGTAGGTTATTTATATATATATATAATCTAATTAGGTGTTATTTTGCGGAAGTCCATTTCACTACTCGATGGATTTATATTATTTTGTTTAATTCCGCTACAATTAACATGTGTGAGACCACGAATATTCGGTGTGGAAACCTGACCAGTTCTACGACCTACTCCAGTGGCGATCAAATTCCGACCGTTATTGAGTCTACACCCATACCGCGACACGTGTTTCGCCTCTGAATATTTATGTAATATTTAATGTAATGTAACGGTTATTTATATAACTATATCAATATATACTAGGTGGGGGGGAAAGGTGATTGTTAGTAATGTCGACTGATGATCTCATTGCTAGCAATGTACCATGTCAGGTCGACCTCCACGCGGTTCCCCCTGGAAACCATCGTGATAAATTCTTGATGAATTTGTCTCGATGGGCTAACTGACCTGACCTCATGCTCATCTTATCATCGTCCACTGGTGCCCCGCCAGCGTAAACCGTTAGCGCAGGCGGGTGCACCATTCCATTATCATCCGTAAAAAAAAAATATATGCTAGGTATATCTTCTAATAATTACAACAGACTCCTTAATATGGCTGCCACAGTTTTGTGCTTAAAAGGAGGCTTCAACAACTGTATAGATTATTTAATAAAAATTGTATTACCTAACAACTGTATAATATATATTTTTGTACTACGATGGCGGCAATTCAGCGTACTGCCCGTGTGATGGTAACCGGTTACTGTAGTCTCAGGACGCCTAGTACCAGGAACTTCATTTGCGCGTTGCCGATCCTTTTATATGATTTAAATGAGCAACTCTTTGCAAAGTTATGTGTGGGTACAAGTCAATAGCCCTTCTGACTAATTGATAGCCATCCCCTATATACATATACAGCACTACATCTGTTATATTCCTGTATATCTTTACGTAGTACAAAACTAGTCCATTTCGTTCACTTTTATCTTTTAAATTACGCAACCGATTTTAATTGTTATCAGCAATAAGAGTATACCTTAAATAAATATAATCCTTAAGGTATATATAATATGGGCTAATGCTGAATGAATACGATTGTCGTTTTGTAAAGGGTGGCTTTTTACAAAAGCACAATCGTATAGATATTTGTTTGAGATCATTGGATAATTTGAATTGGATGGATTTGAGATCAAAGCGATCACCCAATAAATAAATAGTTGATTTGCTTCGTAAATAGATTTAAAGCAACACCGAATAGATCGAAAAGAATTCGGCAGGATACCCTTTGCAAAGTTCTATGTGTACATGCGGTAAAGAGTGTGCACTGTGCATGTACAGGCATACAAAGCATGCCAGTTGCTAAAGATTTGTACAGAGTAAAATATTGTAATGTCGGTCAAAAGAGTATCTTCCTTATTTTAAAAAGAAACGCGTTTTTCACATGTCATTAATTCTCTGTTATTAATTTATACATAAAAACTTGTGGATTATAAACTGTATTTTTGTAAATTAATTGAAAAATGGCACGCAAAGGCCAGGTTTCAATACAGGATAGTGTAGAAAACAATGAAGAATTCGAGGCATATCTACAAGTACATTTTAAACAATTAATCTGTGAGTAAATGAAATATTTACGTAATATGGATATATATTATATAGCATGACTACCTATATTTTACTAAGTATTCATTAATAATAGAAATGATGACGGGCTCGGTGGTCCAGCGGTTTAGCACAGCGCTTTGGTCGCGGGTTCGATTCTTCGCACGGTACAAACATTTGTATTCAAGAGTATGATTCTTGGTATCGTTCTTAATTTTTTCTATATATATCATGTATGTATGTTCAAGAAAAATATCCAAGCATATTTATCAGTTGTCTAGTACCCAGAACACAAGTTCTGCTGAGCTTCGATGGGGTCCAGGGATATTATTACAGTTATTAACAATATATCATTTTCTCCACAATACATTCACACAAAGAATGAGGAAAAAACTTGCGTGTTAGTCTTTAAAATAATTTTGTTGTTACTTTACATTTTTAAGTTAAGTAATTCACACACCTCAGTGTGAATACAAACTACCAACAAAAATATAGAAAATATTAAATTACCAACTGGCTGAGCAACCAATCAGGAGAAAATCAGTCATAGTGATTAGAGCAGATCAGTCCCTACAAGCAGCACTAAATAAAATCATTAATTGTCTAGCTAGCCAATTTTTTTGTTATATATTACAAAAAAATCAATTTATTTGAATTCATAGGTATGGAAGTATATTCTGATTTCTGTGGCTACTGCCTAGCTACTGGTAACGCAGTGAGGAAAGGAAAACTAGAAATAGGACTAGAGCGCGTAGCCATGGTAAAGGTAAGCCAGAAACTACTTATTCTAACGCAACATAAACAAAACGGAGACAGAGCTGTTGCTTTTCACCAAGCACCTGCATGAGATAGATACATATTAAGTTTGCGTTTTATTTCTTGAATATGACATTTTTTTATTCATAAAATGACTCAAAGTCAGATACTAGATACTTATTCTAACGCAACATAAATAAAATAGAGCTGTTGCTTTTCACCATGTGTACCTGTATGAAGTAGGTAGCTTCCAATTAAGTTAGTGTTTTATTTCCTGAATTTGTTTTTTTTATACATAAAATAACTCAATCAGAAACTACTTATTCTAACGCAATTTAAACAATATTAAGACAGAGCTGTTGCTTCTCACCATGTGTACCTGTATGAAGTAGCTACATATTAAGATTGCGTTTTATTTCTTAAATTCGTCTTTTTTTTATACTTATATAAAGTAACTCAGTCAGAAACTATTTATTCTAACACTAAACAAAACAGAGACAGAGGTGTTGCTTTTCATCATGTACCTGTATGAGATAGCTACATATTAAGTTTGCTTTTTAATTCTTGAATTTGTTACAAATATAAGCCAAAACTATCGAAAGGCGGTCACCTAACGCAAGCCAAGTTAAGTGGAGACGTAAACTAATGAAAGGGTGCCGAGTGTGTACTGAAATATTACAAGAGTAAGCACATCACTTTACTTTGAAAACAATAAAAATTAGCTACCTACACAAAATGCTATTAGCATTAAGCCCGCCTATTGTACAAAATCAATAAAGTTTTAAATAAATAAATAAAATTTATGTATGGAGAAATTTTTAAATAAACTAAATATCATCAGTAATAAAAGCCATTCTCTGTGGTATAGCATTAACGAATTGGATACGAATGCGTGTATCGACATGCTATTTTGGGTGGCGTCTGATTCCGTATGCTCTGAAATGCTATTCATACAAAATATATGTAAGCTCTAATAAAGTTGAATGGATTGCCGATGTATGGCGAGGCATTATACTGGCTAGACATTCACCAGGAGAGACTAATGAATTAACGGTCAGATGAAGTAGACTATCGTAACAAATGCATGAGCAATTAACCAAGATGGTTTCGAGGCTGACCATGTGTAGGTCGATGTGACATACTTGCTTTGTCATTCAATTACTCATAGCAGCGCTTTTAATAAACAGTGCATGAATAATCAGTATTCACACACTGATACAAAAGTAAGATGGAATATTTACCTATATACACTTTTTATCATTATTATCATGATAAATACATAGAAGTATAATAGATATTACTGTATATGATAATGATAACAGAATTGATGTTACGTCACGCACAACATTATCCTCCCTTTCATATGTGAAAAGTTCACTTGCTATCAAATTGGCCGTAAATTTCATTGCCGTTTCAATTACAAAATGAAACAGTTTGTTAAGATTTAGTCAGTTTTTTTAAAAGTGTAATCTACTAACTACTTGTATACGTTCCTTTGTTTCAGGCACTGGCTGACAACATTGACCCTTTGTCGCGTTTCAAGTATAAAAGCGAACCGGTATTCTTATTCCTATCGGTTAGCAGCTAATTTCATATTAATAAACCACTCTGGTTATACAAAATACAGAATTTTAAATTTTTAATCAAAGTCTAGAGCTAAACATAAAAAATAGAAACGGTTTTTAACCCCAGTAACCCCCCCAGTAACGACCTTCCCTTTACATGATATATTATTTTCGATTTCCGTATAGAAGATGTCTGTATATACTCGATTCTTGTCTATGGCTATAAAGAACTCGCCTGTAGATCATTTCCTACAAAGGAAACTGCAAATAAAATCTTAATTAGTCATATTGACTAATAAACATTAGATACCAATTGATCGGATCGAGGGTTTAGCACTGAACCACTGTATAATATGTATTATACCATTTATGAAGGAGAATTCTATATATTAATACGTGAAGCAAAACCTTTGTATCCCTTTATACGAAAATTATGCGGACGGAGAAGTATCAAATTTCGCACATCTATAGTTTATATAGTTTATATGGAGTGCAGAATGATAATATTTTTTTTAATTATGCATAAAAAATGCATTAAGTTAATAAAAAAAACAATATTGCCTTTGTGACTGCCAGTGTCTGTCATTATAGAAGTAGGTATAGGCTCTGACAATGTTAATAATGTTCAAACTTATGTTTTATTTCCTCATTTATGTTTATGTCCTCATGGAGTAGGGCCTTTTTGTCCAGCACGGATTTCCTCAGCGTGCCCCCTTTGGAGGCCACATCAGCTACTCGATTCCTAGCGATAAATCGGGTGGTATCAATTCCAGTCGTAGTACATATCATCAGCAAAGTCTCGGACGACCTGGTAGTGGAACACGGCTAACTTTCGGTTTTCACTGACAAACTGTCTCAATTTTGGTGTGCTTCTGCGGACTACAAAGCATCGTAAACTGTTAATTGTTAAATCAGCTGAAGAATTTACTATGTTCAGAGAATGTACGTGGTAACCAATATGTGACTTTATATATTATGTGACTTTTGTGACACTGTCTTTGAAACGTTAATTTTAATTTCCGACTTCTTAGGCAATACGTCTGACAACTCTTTATTTTCATTCAATACAGGTTGCCTAGACAATCGAACATTGTTTGACGTTGAACGAAGTAAACTGTTATAAATCGGTTTTAATGGAATTTGATATGTCAAAAATGGTTCGTTGTCAATGTGTTGTGAATTTTCATGATTTTTAGCATGTAACACAATATGGCTATGATGCGATGCTCTTTCAGATGGTTTTATAGTGTGAAAATCACGGTCAAAATGTCCCATTGTGCGATGACATGTTCGTGAGTTAACTTCGTAGTTGGATTCTACATAGATTGGTTTTGCAATTGAATCTGCTGGTAAATCATGACCACTATATTTTTGTGTGAGGTTCGGTGTTAAAGTCTCACTATTGTCAACAGTCGGATAATTACATTTATTTAGTGCGTCATATATACAGGGCTAACCAAGCGACTAAAGCGCCGTTTTGATTTCAGTGTCGCTAGGCTTGCTTTCATCTCAAGCTCTTCTAGCTGTCTTGCTTGATGAATGAGCTTACGTTGCTACTCAAATCTTCGGTGAGCGAGCTGCATGGCGAAATCTTGCTCACGCTCGAACTGCTCACGTTCCCGTTCCATGCATTGTCGAGCTAACTGTGCCTCTGCAGCCAACCTACGTGCCCTAACTGTGGACGATGACTGTAGCGACCCCGACAAACGCAATTTAGAACTGGAGCCAATTTTCTTGCTTTCGGTGATTCGCTTGCTTAACGCGGGACTCTGAATAGGCGTAATAAGTTCAGGGTGGCCTGCCGTGGGCAACAACGTGGGTTCGGCTAAAACGTGGTCAATTTCTGGTGACCGACCGAACCCACCCGCGTCGTGCATATCAGACTCCGAACATACCTCGCTAGTATACCTTGCTTGCGTATATTTTTGTGTCTTCAATCTCGTTTGCATGATTGTCCTCGTAAATACCTCGTAAAAACTGTGAAGGTCGGCTCGAAGACCAAAATGTGAAGGTCGGCTCGAAGGACCAAATATGAAGGATGGAGACCAAGATGACGAGCAAAAAGTAAAACGGCACCGTTGTAGTTGAAGAATATTTTTGTATTGAATTGACTTACGTCATATAAAAACAATGTAATATTATAAAAAATATAGACAATAAAAAGGTATATAAAATAGTTTCCAACAATGTATACCTACCACATATCAAGCTAATGACTTCAATAGGCTACGACAAACGATATAACGCTTTATAATAACAGATAATATAATAGACGTTTCAAGGGTCGTATACTTGTTTACAATCAATTTAGTATAAAAAAATGGTTTCTGATAACAAAATTTGGTTGTCTGTCTAATGACATACATTTAGTATTTGTCATTTATAGTATTCATGTTGGGGGGCATGGGTAACATAGTGAAATTTTTGTCTCAGCTCAATAATTCAAGCAAAATAACAGGCGCTAACTCATTGAGTAAACTCAAAATTTTTGCATGATGCAACAAATTAGAACATATAAAGATATATAAGGGTACATATATACTTACCATGTCATAAAGTACGTTCGTGTAATTCTTTTAAAATTCGGTAAAAGTACAAATAAAATAATATTACATAGTAAATGGTAGTGGACGATAAGATAATATACTCGTATTAAGGAAGGTGTTTTTTTTTAAGGATGATAATGGAATGGTGCACACGCCTGCGCTAACGATTTACGCTGGCGGGGCACCACGACTTATGGGATGATAAGATGAGCATGAGGTCAGGTCAGTTAGCCCATCGTAACAAATTCACCAGGAATTTATCACGATGGTTTCCAGGGCGAACCACGTGGAGGTCAACCTGACGTAGTACATTACTAGCAATGGGGTCATCAGTCCACATTACTAATAATCCCCTTCCCCCTTAAAGAAGGAGTTCCATATGAATGTGGATGGTTATAAGAGCAGAGGAAGACCGAGAAGGAAATAGATAACGAGAGTATATGAAAAACATATTTTACTTAGACTCTAGAGATAAGGAAGATGCATAATAGATAATAAAGAAAATAACGAAATGACTGCGAACAGCGGTGAAAGGAAGAGAAAAACATATTCTGTAGACTCTAAACAAATGAGATAAGGAAGATGCATAATAGATAATAAAGACAAATAATAGATAAGAAATTATATCGTGTTAATTATGCAGCGTTAATTTACTTTTAATCGACCTTTGAAAGTAAATATCATTTAACGGAACAGTTTCAAAACTATGCTAGCACTGATAAATATTACATAGTCAATTAAGTTCCTTATTATCTAATCTAAAATTATAAATTGAACTTAATCACAATGGTTTATAGAAACTTTTTTTTACTAAACACGTAATAACAAACACACTAAAGTTCCCGAATCACGCCATCGCTGATATATAGGTATATGCAAAATAATATACATCCATCAAGTAATAGTTATAAAAATATATAAAAAATTGGATAGAAGTTTCCTGGCTGCACTGGCGGATGACAACAAAATTTATTAATTTCAGAAAGGAAAGTTAACTAGAGCTATGTTTGGTGCAAATGGCATAGAACTCTGTCGCATAATAGAAGAGGAATTGGGATTAATGCACAGGGAGACGGAAACAGGAATAGAACGGCCCAAGTTAAATATTGATGAGATGTTGCCTGAAGAAGCGGTAAATATACTTATTTGTTATTCTCAAACTCTGCAGATCTTCACGCATCAGCTATTAAATTAAAATCTTACCAAATTTTTTATATATGTATTTATATTTCTCGAATCGATAATAATTAAAGCTATGGTTATTATAATTCTGGTAAACAAAATGTGAGAAAATAGTAAAAGTTATATTGCCTGTTTGCTAGAATATGTAATGTAACGCATCAAATATATGGAATATCTATAATCTAGAAAGGTAACAAATGGGCCGTCCTCCTCGAATAAATCAGAGTGGCTTTAAATGCCACAGACATCACAAGTGTTCTGACAGTTCTTAATATTAATTTGCCGCTGGACACCGTAACAAAAAAAGTGAAAACTAATCGTTTAATTCAATTAAAATTGTCATCGATCCCAAATTTCCTCCTTCTCAAGTCATTTCTGAGGGACGTGACAGCCCCGTAGAAATACTCTTTATACACCTACTTCTCTCTTTTCTTCTGAATCTTTGACTACACCCGACTATCTGGCCGATTGCAAATCAATGTTGTCAAATATTTACTAAAATTTTTAACATTTAAATTATTGTCAATAAATGTTAGCAAAAAATGCAAGAAGATCTAAAGATAGAAGAAGAATGCCGTGACACAGTGGAACGTCTCCGAGTCTTGACTCTGGCCGCTCGCAAGAAAAGAGTCTGCGAGAGGCTCTCCAGGCACGTGAAGCGACTCAACTTCATACTGTTCTGGCCACACTGCCATCAAGCACACTACGACCTGTATGAGAAATGGGATATTATCAGTGAGTTGCCTTTATATTTATTATACTCCAGATTTCGTTTCTCTTATTATTTTTTTTCATATAAAACATAGTAAAATTCTGATGAGACAAAAACTGTATGTAGTACAACGAAATATCACACGGCGCTATTAGTCTAGAAATGAAAAATAGGCGGATAAAGTTAGCAAGAGATAAAATAGTATAAAACTTAATAGTTATTTTACTAATTTCCATCGACATAGACATACAAGTGGGAGCAAAAGAGATTTTGCAACTAACAGAAGCAACCGCAAAGGAAGCCCTGTATATGAGCGACGTGGATCCAAACGAAGCGTGTCTACATGCACTTCTCAAAGGAGAAGTCTTGGTTGTACTTTTCAAGATGTTCGACACGGATAATCGAGACTTTGTTAGTAAGTATCCACATACTTGTAAGATTTTCGTATCGTTTAATACTATTAAAAATAAAAGAATAAAAAATAAAAAAATAAAAATAACAAGGAAAATTGTTACGACACTTAAAACGGCACGTTAAACTTATATATATTATGATTGAAATACAAATGCAAATTGCAATGTAAATAATATATTCTCATAATCATATATTGGTTATACAAAAAACAGAACCTACTGTTACCAAAGTGTGATTCCAAGGTACATTTGAAATTATACTTAGGTAATAATTTCAGAATTTTTACTACACAATTATTACTGCAACAATATAAAAAAATGTATAGCAGACTGAGCAAAGTAATACAGCAATTGTCAATTGTCCAATCCAGAACTACTAAGACACGCTGTTTACCAAGAGATACCGGTGCCGAAAGAGGATGTCCCACCGGAGAAACAAGTGCCTCCTATACCAGCATACGAAAGATATGCTACCATCAGCAAAACTGCTAGAGAAGTCCGCCGCGACAGATACGAGGCCAAATTACAGAAACTAGTGAGTCCTCATTCCTTGACATGAACGTGATAATAAAAATAATGAAGCCACACAGAGTTTGTTATTTAATGCTGAAGATTAGTAATTAAAATCGTAATGTAAATCACATCAACCTTCTGATACACTTGACAAAAACATTATTTTATTTATGTAAGAACAAAATTACCGAATAAACATACGTATTTCTATACATCCTAACAGCGCGAAGAAAAAGAAGAAAGAGATCGACTGGCAGCCGAACAGGCACGCCTTGCTCGAGAAGCAGAAGAAGAAAGACAAAGACTGGAGAAGCAACGACAAGAAGAGGAACGAATGGCTAGAATACAGGCTGGGGTAATGTATTATACAAAATATAGCTAATTTTATTTATGACATTCTTCTCAATTTAGATAAAAACAATTGTTTCCCATATGGGATATATGGGAAACAATTTCTTTGATTATAATCTTCCTCAAATTGCATAAAGGTCTTGATAATATCTTTATTTATATTTATAGTTGCCTGCCGAGCTAGAACCAGAAGTAACAGCAGAAGACATTGAAGGTGAAGAAACTGAGAATGTTCAAGCCGAAGCTGTGGAAGAAGTATTTGGAATTTAATTCTAATTATTTTATCATTACGAGAAATACGACTTTTTACATATATTATTATTTTAACGTAGAAGACCGCGTATAGGTCATACATATCATGCTTCGAAATAAATAAATAATGCACTAAATATAAATAAGTGTTATATAAGTACTAAAATTACTATATAGTTGGAAAGTTGAAATATCCCAGTTAATAGTTATAATGTGCAATTTTGTATTGTTCTACGATCGCTGTCAAGAGTTAATTACCTACATTATTCCTCAGGCTGAAGAAGAACAAGAAAAGGTTGAAGAAGAAGAAGAGTTTCATTCTGATGTATCCATGGAAGACGAGGAGTACATTCCGCCGGGGGGTCTATTCGTTCCTGGACTGTATAGTCCCGCCAACGAGCTCGCAAAGGCCAACGGATTATCCTTCTTTTTTTCTAAAGTATTTTTTTATTTAAAGTTTAGTTTGCTGACCTTTATTCATTTCTATCATTTTTTTACATTAGAATTAGACCTACATACAACCATTTTATTTATTATATGAGTGTAACCAATATCCAAAAGACTTCCGCACCTAAAAAACCACACGATGTACCTATGAGCGCCATTCCCGGTGTTACGGGGACACGTTTGTATTCTACCGCGACTCCGGCGGCATTGAGATGGTGTAGAGCAAACTCCATGTCGTTGTTAAGTTAGGGCCTGTTAAAGCGTACCTACATACTACCTAAGATCTCACTAAAAACAAATCAGTGGACATTTGACTTTGGTTAGGCACTAGGTACTATTTGTTAATGTGTCTATTATTTAATACTAGACTGTTCAAAATTAATAACATTATTATATATTATAATTAATATATAATAATGTTATTAATTTTGAATAATGACTCACAACGATCCCGATAATATGCATTAAAGAAAAGCTTACTTTAGTGTATCATTATCACGTTGTTTCTGACATTTCATTATTAATATAGATTTGTAATTGTATTTTAGCTTTTTTTTTCAAATAATAGTTGGTTCAAGATATGGCACCAATAGAAACGGAACACTTGCCTCCGCACGTGCTGGTGATGTTCACTGTGGACAAACGATACGACGTGCAGGATATAATCCACCAGTTCCCTCACGAAATACTCGCAGTATGATTTTTATTATATTCAAATTCAAAATATCTCTATTCATGTAGCACTATGGCAAACTCTTATGATATATCAAATCTACCACTACCTAATCTATCTCTATCTCTACTATTGTAAAATTATATAATATATATTACGAGTATAAAATCTGTCTACACCAAACTATACGTGATAATAATAACTTTGCTTTCAACTGTATTTTACATGATATCTTTGAGCCGGTCGTTGTTGAAGTAAGTACCCATAAGCTTTTAGGATTCTGGATTGGACATTTTTGCCTTACCATATATACTTTATTTTTATTGAAACTGAAAAAGTAATAGAATGTGTAGTGTTTTTTTTTGTATAATTCGTATGGCAACTAGCGTTGAGACTTGAGATAAACAGCTACAGTGCGAGATGCAAAATAATGTTTATAATTGTTTTCTTACATTATTCAACTTCGATGATATTGTCTCTAGATTAACTACTTAATTTTACTGTACAATACATACAGACTGGCTTGTTCGTTGGTGAAGACCCATACACTGCTGAGCATGTTGCATACAGCATAAAACAATATGATAAAATGGAAAGATTGAGGAAGCAGTAAGTGTTATCAATAATTATATTTATACCTATCGAAGGATATAAGAACCTGTTTATGCGGAGTAATGAACCAAGTTCGAAAATACTAAGTGATCTAATCTGGTAATAGTAGACACCATTCACCTTTTAATCTCTCATAAATAGGTAAGATGTCGATAATGATAATAATAAGTTTAAAAAGATACAAACATACATCTTTTGTATCGTAAATAATCATACTTAGGAATATAATGCTTGTGTTGTGCTAAAATTCGCGATTATCGGAAACAAGGCGGTGCGCTATACCGCTAGGACACCAAATCGAAGACTTAAAGACAAATTTTTAAATTTACATTTGACCATGGATTCTGTGTCCTTGAGTTCGATGGATATCGGTGTGATATTCTATTTTATTTATATCAAGTACAATAGATGAAATCGTCGTAGCATGATAATAAATATGACTTTAATATAATTTAATAGATCTTACAAGGAACATGGCTTTCCATGGACCACCCACTCTAGTTTCGTTACCTTATACCCAATTTCTACTTTAGATTCCCTGCTTAGGATTGTAGTAGTATATATAAATATTTATTTAGTAAAAGCTTTAAATTTATATGATCACTTCAGTAAGGACCGTTTAGCTCTCATGGTGTCAAGAAAACGCAGTCTTCCTCTACTGCAACTGGCTGGGTTAAATCCTTGTTACATCAGTAGTGACGTGGTCTCTGGTGAAAGAGACTGTCTCACACTTTTTCCCGTCGGATATGGAGATGACTTTGAAGAAGAAATTAGCATCAAAGAAGAGGAAGTACAGGTAACACGAACACAAAGAGGTAGACAGAGTAACTTTAGAAATGCAAGAGTTATATCATCTAGTAACCGCAGGATCTCACGATTCCAACACGCGATAATCTACAACTCTTTGGGATGACGATGGAAGTAATTGATACTAAATAGTGCTTGAGAACCTTGTATCTATGTTTATTAAAGTAGAAATATCAAATACTATGCCGTTCGTTAGAACTTACATTTTTATGCACGGGATAAAGACCCTTTTGGGTCAAATTCAAATTTACATAAATTAAAAAATCATTTATTCATGTAGGACATTTTAGCCGCTTATGAACGTCAAATATTCTAGTGATAACAGTATAAACACCAAAATACACTATTTGCTTTGAATATTATTATATGCTATTTAATATTATATTAAATTAACAACTTCACGAGAGCCTAATAAATTAATAATTGCTATGAAAATTCGGCATTATTGTTACGATACCAATAACATAATGTCACATATCACTTCACAGGAAGAAGAACGGATACAACAAGCAGAACAAGAGGTAAAAACCATTCTTTATTTAAAAATAGAGATAAAAAGAATTTTCACAAAGCTAAGAATAGTTATAAGATAACTACAGCCCATATTATGTTATTGAAGAAAGAGACTCTATCCATCACCTATGTCATTAGTTGAAACAAGAACTAATAAACATATTAAATAGACCTAATAAATCTCGTAAACGTATGATAATCTCTTGTATTTATGTATATATGTATGTATATGTGCATTGTATTAGTATCGAATTTTATCACTGTTACCATGCTTTTCATTTATATAGATGATCTGGCAAAAAGTTCTATAGGGCATTCATGAAGTTCGTCTTTTGTATTATATAAATAACGAATGCGTAAAATTTCGTCTGCAGAACATTATCCCCATTTTTGCAACATATGTAATTACAACGATTACAAAAATAGCATTACGTTCCTCAATAAATGGGTCGTTAGGCCGTTTAGACATTAATTTATCTTCCACAAACTAATAGTTTGCTTTATTGATAGGCTTCAGATAACTATAATATATTGGTCATCTATTGGCTGAATATTGTAGTCGAGATTCCACTGGAATTTCAAAATATGTAACTGGCCGCTAATAAAGCCAACATTCTTTCAAATAAAAAAGAAAAAGGAGATTAAACGCACGCCGTATTTTGTTTTTATTAATAAAATGTTTTAAGAATTAGACTTATAGTGAATTTATCTACATAAAATAATAGTAGGCTTCATAAAACATATAGACAAAAATATCGTGTATTTACTGTTAATAAACAAACTAATTATTTCGCGAGTGGTGGTCGTCATATTCAGCAAAAGGCTGTCTTCGTTTTCCTACCATTTAGATGTCTTCTTCTATCTGGACCCGGTGTGTGCATTTTACTTTAACAGTGCACTGAATTAGATTTCAGGTCAGTGGGTTATTTTATGGGTATTTGTTGCCGCGCAGTCGGCGACTTGAACTTTATGGACGGACTCGACTCGAGCTTTGTAGGTTCGGTTATATCCCACGTGTAGTGGATATTTACACGCCACTACGCCAATGGACTATCCATCCCTAAATGAATTTTCAAAATCCGGTTAATACAGGATATCCGATTATCTGGATATTCACATACACGCAAGTTTTCCCTTTTTATAATATTTTATAAGATAACCAATAAGAAAAGAAGTAACAATGTAGACATTGTTTAAAATTTTAATTATAAAAACAACAGCCGGATGTTGTGGACGAGCAGAAAGAGGACGAAGATGATGAAGACGAAGATTAAGAAGCATCATATATATATATATACCCGTCAAGGAAAGCTGTTTTCCTGTGTTCGCATTCTGTTGTGCATAATAAAGTAATTGCCGAAATGCTTGTACTGAAAAATTTAAACTCGTTTTTTTCTAAGATGTCACATTTATTTAATCAAAATATTTACCCTCATTATCTATACATTGCTGCGGGTTCGATTCTTCGCACGGTACAAATATTTGTATTCATGAGTATGATTGTTTGTATCGGTCTGAGTGATTTCTATGTATAAAATGTATGTATTTACGAAAAAAAAAACGGTATTTGTATCAGTTATCTAGTACCCATAACACAAGTTTTAGCTAGCTTAACTTGAGTCTAGATGATTCTGTGTGAATTGTCTTGAGATTATTATTATCTAGTCGAAAGTTCATCTATGCTTTTGTGTGGATCTGGTAGATTCGTCAAACTGTGAAAGGAGTGTGTACTAGGAAGTTGTTTTTTTTTATTACGTAGAAAATTGTCCCAGTCACGAAAATATGGTACCTAGTCCAAGGCTAGAGCAAGGTCTAGCGAGTACGGAGGATGATGTATGGTTTCTAATCTCCTGTGGAATTGCAAAGGTTTCCCGTGCTGTATGAAGTCTTGCGTTATCGTGGTGGTCAATGATGGTGAAGGTCGATTCGACTCGTGAATGGCTGTTTCATTGCCAGTTTCGCCATCATTGTTCGAAGTTCGGCACAGATAAAAAATACGCTATTATTGCTCGACCACACCTAAGAAAGCTATAGTGAATAACACCACGAAGAGACCAATCAGCAATTGTAAATTAAGGTCGGATTTCACCAATCGTAGCATAAACACGTTCAAGGAAACGGAGTTCAGCGTGAACTCCAAAAAAAGAACGACGTTGATCTCGTTTCACTTTAAATGGAATTCACCAACATTATACAGATCGCGTTTACCAAAATGAAGTTTACATTTTCATTCATTCACAGTGTTACACGCTCATAAAATAATATTTGTTGCAATGGGTAATTTAAATAAAATAATTCTAAGAAATATTTATAATTCAATCCTGTAATAATTAGGTTAAGTTTTTTAATTTAATAAGTACCGTCGACTACAAAGTATAAAACAACAACCTTTACCTATAAACTAGTAAAAAAATATTTTATTGAGGTTTTTTTTATATTACTAGCAATTTTCTTTTTATTCACGATATTGTTTGACAACAGATGTAACCACAGCTTCAAGAAGAATGCTGACATGAACCATGTTATATTTGAATGCCAAGTTTTCAACATACAACGTCAACCGTTGTATGTTGAAAACTTGGCATTCAAATATGTATTCTCGTCAGTGACATTAGTGACATCGCAAAGGAACGCTCACAAAGTATTCCCCGCCGCGTTCAAGATTTGTCCAATATATAACTACATTGTACATACTGTGGAAAAAATTTAATATTAATGAATTATTACTAAAATTGTACTGTCTGAGCTTATATAATAGTTTATTTCTTATTTTTTGTATTCAAATCATTATAAAAATGTATTCGACTGAAGGACTTGTATCCATGGTCATGAATAAAGCACTATTAAAAAAAAAAGACTAAACTGACAGCTGTTTCTTTAAATACATTTATTCGAAAAAGTCGCGGGAACGCTTGAAAGGAAGCGCGCTCTTTTGATTTTATATTTTCATTTTCCATTATATATTAATTATTCCTGTATAGTTTGCTATTTAAATAGTGTATTGCACCCTCGTCATGGGGAAGAATAGAAGGAAGCCGAAAAAAAATTGCATCTCCAGATGATCCTGATAGCTATTGTAAATCAACAACCACGTCTGATTACGAAGAAGCAGATTCAGATCCTAAAGTATTATATAAACCTTATTTTGTCACTGATTATAATCGACGATACCCAGAAGACTCCGCTGCAACTGAATTTGTTGTGTTCGTTGAGTCTACTGATTCTAATACCGCCATAGTCGCCAGAGATCTTTTATCCTTATCATCCTGCTTAAAAAGATTCAATAAAGGGGTAAAATACCTTAGAAGCCTAAATAAATATAAAATCGGTGTTTACTTTGAGAAGCCAGGTCTTGCAAATGCATTCTTAAACAATTTAACATTTTTGAAAGAATACCAGTTTAAAGCTAGCATTCCAGCAGGTTCAACCGAAGTCACAGGAGTCATCAGAAATGTCCCTATAAATTTATCCAATATGAAGATTTACACAATGTTATCAAGCTATAAGAAAATTATTTGTATTCAATGTTTTTTAAGAAAAGTTAAAAATGATGTTACTTTTTATCTACAGCCAACACAGACAGTAGCCATTACTTTTGCTGCATCAGTTCTGCCCGACTATGTGGACCTGGAAGGTTGGAGACATGATATTTCACCTTACATTCCTCCTGTTAAACAATGTTTCCGGTGTTTAAGGTATGGTCATTTTGCAAAGTTTTGCAAGAATGCTGAGATATGTTCCGTTTGTAAAGGAAACCATAATTTTAAAACATGTACTACACCAATTGATAATGTCAAGTGTTTCCATTGCGATGGGAACCATATAAGTGTCTCATCACAGTGCCCTGTAAAACAAAAAAAAATAATTGATAATAGAAATAAAGCACAAAGACCTTCATATGCAGACACCTTCAAATCTTTTCCCACTCTTGGACACAGACTAAATAAACAGAATAATGACATTATTTCAATTTGAAAAAATGATGACAAATCACCAAGCCTCCTTGTAGAGACCATTGTTAAATTAATAACATTAAATAAGACCCAAAACACATCAATTTGCTCTAAAAACGTACTAGAACTGCTTACTGAAAATTTCAGTACTAAAATAAATAGTACCCAAAATTCGAATAAACAAATTAAATATAGTACAGTGGAATGCTCAACGTCTGTTGAGCAATCGACATTTATTTTCACAATTTTTATATAGTAAAAATATTTATATTGCATTAATTTGCGAAACATGGTTAAGACCACACCATAAATATAAAATCAAAGGATATAATATAGTAAGAAATGACTCAGGTAACTATCATAATGGTGTTGCTATTATACTGCATAATAGCATAACATATAATAAAATTAATGTAATGTCTGATGATGGATTACAAAATCTGGTTGTACAGATTATTGTTAATAATAAGTAAATATCTTTTGCTACTGTTTATTGTCCAACAAATTGTACCACACCATTCTCTAAATCTAAGTTCATATATTTTGTAAATAATATACCTAAACCATTCATTATTGCCGGAGATTTCAATGCACATCACACTATTTGAGGATGTGATACCATTAAACCTAAACGAGGTAGAGATATTTTAGAATCACTAGACAAATGCAACTTGGTTTTACTTAATGATACTCAAGCTACAACTGTAGGAACTCATATATGGAAACCTAATGGTTTAGATTTAACTATAGTTAGTCCGACCATAGCACTTATGTGTGAATGGTATGTACACGATGACCCCATAGGTAGTTATCATCTGCCTACAGTGACCGAACTAACCGTAGGAAATGATTATTCTCCATGCCATAGTTTAGCACAAATTAATGGTACTGTTTCAATTCATCACAGTAATTTGCGTCTAATAAACTGGGATACATATAGTATTTTAGTTAATACAAAATTACAGGATTTCTCTATTAATAAGAATGATCCCATTATCACTTATCAGCGCTTCTGTAAAATTATGCAAGACACCGTTGATATAGTATTAGGCGGAAAGTCAACAATACAGAAAAAAATGTCGCATCCACAAGGTGACAGTATTAAAAAATATAAACATTGTCCTCTTCACTGGTGGAATGAAGAATGCGTATCAGCTGTTCAAAATAGTAAAAATGCTTATGTCAATTTTAAACGAGATCCTACCATAGACAATTATATTACATTTAAAAGATTGCAAGCACTAAAAAAATTAACAATCAGAAATGTACGTATACAAAGCTGGCAAAATTTTTGCTCAAATTTAAATAGATTAACACCAATTTCAACCATTTGGCAAAATTTGAGAAAATTTAATAAAAAAATATTCAAATTAAACTTATATAGGTAATAACAACAATCTAATGCCATGGATTAACGATTTTTTGCACAAATATACTTAAGACCTCTATATATAGATGACACTTTTAAACATACTGATAGTTTTTTTAATCAGCCCTTTAAATTAGTAGAACTTCAAACAGCAGTAAAAAGTAGGAAGGATACCGCTGTAGGATTAGATATGTCATATAAAATGCTAAAAAATTAAATGAAAACAATTTAGAAATGTTTCTTAATATCCTAAATTTACTTTGGCTTAATTCTATTATTCCTAATGAATGGAAAACTGATTGTTTAATACCAGTATTAAAATCAAATAAGAATCCTTCACAAGCTGATTCATATCGACCTATAACTTTAACATCCTGTTTTGGAAAAATTTTTGAACAACTTATAAAACAACGTCTCGAATTTTTTGTCGAATCTCAAAATATATTACCGCCGAATCAGTTTGGCTTTAGACGTGGATTTTCGGCTCGCGAAAGTTTGTGTCATTTATATATGGACATAAATAGAACTAAAAAAAATAGGCAACATTTTGCTGGTGTTTTTTTGGATATTATCGGTGCTTTTAACAATATCAATCATAATATTATGTCTGACATTCTAGCTTCACTTGGAATATCAAATAAATTAGTACGCTGGATATTTAATTTTTAGAATGGTCGTGAAGTATATGTGAAGCTCACTAATAATACATGTCTTGGACCTCGGTTATCGCATATCGGAGTGAGTCAAGGCGGTATATTAAGCCCTCTTTTGTACATATTGTACGTCCATAGATTAAATGAAGTATTGGGTAGAGAAGTACATAATCTTCAATTTGCTGATGATTTAGCAATATATTGCTATGGAAATAATTTAACAGACATTAGTTCCAAAATAAACAATGCTCTACATAATCTATCTGTATATTTTTCATATCTTGATTTAGAAATTAGTCCTTCGAAAAGTCAAATGAGTTTATTGGAGAATAATAATCTTAATTTAGATCTTTCAAATTTATCTGTTACATACAATGGATACACTATACCAATAGAATCGGAAGTAAAATTTTTGGGCGTTTTATTCCAAAACAAAATGTGTTGGAAAAAGAATGTAGATTGTTTAGCAGATCGAGCCATGATGTCAACTAATATTCTTAGATCATTAGTAGGCACTCGTTGGGGAGCAGATCCTAAAACTCTATCGATGTTATACAAATCGTTAGTTAGAACACATTTTGAATATGCTTTCTTTTGCTTTTGTGATTACAATTTTTATGTAGAAAAACTTGAAAAAATTCAAAATATAAATCTTAGATTAATTTTGGGTGCTATGTTTACCTGACCTATAAATTGTATGCAAGTAGAGTGTTACTTATCACCATTAATATTACGATTTGAATTTTTAAAACTTACCTTTCTGTTGAAATTACATTCTGTAAATAAAAATACCTTCCTAATTAAACTACTAGATTCTTCATTTCCAAAACTTTTCTTTCTGAAAAGGTTAGTGAATTTATTGATTGGGTCCGTAATTTTAATATCTATATTAAACCATCCCCGAGTTATTATGGATACTCATATGATGCCCTATATTCTCAAATTTCTATAAATATTAATAAAACATTAAAAGATAAATATGACGTATATGAATACCTGTCGCGGTGGAACACATATAGGCAAATAAACACCGACGGAGCAAAAAATAAAGAATATGTTTCCATTGCCATATATAATGGCACAGAACAAATGGCAAGTGGTACCAAAATTTCGAAAAATGCGAGTATATTTACGGCAGAATATTTATGCGATTATTAAGGCTTTAGACTACATTAAAGAGACTTTTGACTGTGACAAATGGTTAATCATAACAGATAGTATGAGTATTTTGATGGCTCTTTCGAACGATTCTCATAATAAATTAACCGCTTCCTCTGTAATTCAAAGTATTCGCAGTAAGATGCATGACCTGAAACATAAATTACATAAAGATATTATTCTAATTTGGGTTCCTTCCCATATTGGAGTAATTGGTAATGAGAAAGCAGATGAATTAGCTCGTTTAATAACTAACTGTCCTGTCAATCAAATAGAGAAGAGAATAAAAATTCCGGACAGAGACGTTATTATAGAAATAAAGCAAAGGATTAAAAATCGACACGGACGATTTAATGAACACTTGTGTAGAATGAAAATGATATCTAGTCCAGTGTGCAATTATTGTTCAAGCGGAGAAGTACAGACTCTGGATCATCTACTCTTCGATTGTCAACAATTCAATAAACAACGTTTAGCTCTAATTGACAAATTAATGTCCATTTACAAGGATCTGAATATCCCGCGCATTATTCAGACTTTACTTAAAAATCAAGAAACATACAAACCAATTTATGAATATATTGCCTCCACAGTAGAAGATATCTGAAGAAGGAAAAAAGAAATTAAAATACAGAAATTATACCAAAGACAACGGCTGTATAGGCTTAGACTCTTTGCCTTTCCATTACGGATAAATAGAACAAAAAAAAAAACATTTATTCTCTGTAGAGGTATTACGTGCCGTGCACTGTAGCATACTAGTATAGAATATACTATTCAAGATTATACATGCATACTAGGCTGCAGAAATCAGACGTTCAGAATTTATAAACGTGTTTAGCGAAATCCGACCTAAATCTATATCGCAGTGATGTGTTTTTAATATTTTTAAGCAGGTCATGTATTGATAGGTAGGTAGGTTTTAAAAATGAGTACAAACAAAGACAATACGAAACCGCATTCGACACTTAGAGTGTTATTATGGAAGGAGTACACTGTGAGAAAATCAAGATTTTTGCGAACGATATATGAATGGACTTCAACAATTTTGTTTTTTGTTATATTGTATCTAGTAAAAAATGAGTTGATGCCAGCAAAACCAAATTATGTAAATTGCGACAACATCAAACGTACGGTAAGCATTCCTATTCTGTTCCACTAACAAAGAAAGTTTTACAGTAGAACCACAGATAATATAATATTACATACAGATACCCCATCCCATACAATAAAATAGTTCCTTCCTAACTCGGGCTATTCTTCGGGTTATTTTATTTCGCCGTTGTAGGCGCTAGATGTCGCTATATCTGAAGCAGTTCGGATTACTAGTGGGTGATTAGTAATAAAGCATGAAAATAGATGGCAGGGAATTCGGTCTACATGACATCTGTTTTGCAAAGATACGTACATAATAGATATAGATATAACTGTGTCGAACTCCTGATTGGGTACAATCAAATATTCAATGTAGGTATAATGTCGTTCGCTGATGCTCTGCAGACACGGCTAATGTACCTATGTATCTATGTACTATGTTAGATACGAAGATATGTCGTAACGCGTCTGCACTAAAATCGGGCTATCGCTTAAGGAGCAATAGCTCCTTAATGAATAGCCCAATTTTAATACTGTTTTTGTTATTTAAATTGTTATGTGATAGAGATAGATTTTAGCTATAATCAATTAATGTACATATGGGTACCTCATTTAATTTTCAATGTATAATTATTTCTCTAATAAATATATCTCAATATATAGTTAATTATGGTAAACTGGCAATTTGTAAAATCGAAAATAATATCTGCAAACCATCAATCTGTTATATAGGTTCTTTCAGGGATACTACATCGGTGCTAATGACATGTAGGTACTTATTTTGAGTTATACCTATTTGTAGAACCTTCGATATCTACAATTGTTTTTTTTTGGTATTTATGTAAGTTGTTATTCAGTTGAAATTAAGCTGCGAAATTACAGGGTATTTGGACAAAACATCTATGTTCTTCAGAATGACAACATACGAGGGATATAGCGGGCACGACACGATGATGTAATGTTTGTAATGCTGTTTAATAATTTATGTGTATGTATATACGTCGGATAGTGTCGTGGTTGGATGGATCATGAGCTTATTTACCATTTCAATTAATAATAGTAGCTACTAAGTAGATGAGGGAGGGTAAGGGTGATGATGATGTGACCACCATTCTGGTGGTGATGATGAGATCAATAATAACTCTTAACGACATGATGGTGGTATTTATTTATGACCACCATAAAATTCATCATTGGCAGCATTCTCAACATAATCATCATTATGATAATTGAGATCAAATTAATTAATTGATTAAAAAAGTAGCATTAGGTAGGTACTAAGTCCTTATATGACTTAAATACAAGGTTCTGGGATGCTGTGATATACTAGTCTCTAGATTTTGTTTCTTATTAGTATTCCACGACCAAAGTCTATAGACAGAGAAATATTATGTATAGAGAGAAATATAGATCAACACAAAGTTTTTAGATGAAAATGGGAATTATTATACACATTGCATTAAAAAATATATATGATTACCATCTAATACAAAATTATTATGTAGTAAATTATCCTCACATTTTAAATCGAATGAGGTGAAACTAACATTGCATGAACACAACACTTGAAGATCATAAAATTTTTATTTCAGGTAACAAAACACAGGAATTATGTGTGCTGGACTTGTTGATGAATCAATATAATAAAAATCATAAACTTATTTGCAGTCGGTTACACATAATATAATAACTTGGAATTTCTTCTCATCCCCAGTCCATTGCTTTCTTACTTATCTAATTATATTATTAATTGCATTGTGATTAATAATTTACAGATTTTTCTTCTGCTTTTTTCTCTTATTTTTACTTGCATTATTATTTTATACAGTAAAATGTTTATATATATATATATATTTCTTATTCTTTTGAACTCCTGTTCTTTACGGTAAAAATGTTCTTTATCTTCATCTAATTTAAACTTTGTACAGTATTAAGTTGTTGTCGGGAAAATCTGAAACCAATATTATATATGTTACATTTTCATGAACTTGAATGAATTTACATGAAAGTAACTAAACTGTAACCTTATTAGCACAATAAATAACATATTATTCATACATCATATTCATTCAGTTCTAATAAAATATAAAAATAATACTACTGTTTAGTACTTTATTTTGATTAACAATTTTCAGTATTTTCTCAATCAATCAAAAATTATAAAATCAATGTTAGTTTTTTGAACTGACATTCATAACGATAATAAAAACATAATAAAACCACATTATAGCGGTTACCAAGTACCTATATTTATTTTATTTTAATATGAAAGATACACACTCATACATATGCAAGTTTTTAACAACTTATAGTTATACCTGGTATGAGATAATCCTCAAAGACACGATAGTTTACTAAATATTCGCAGTAACTTCCTTAGACACATTTAAATTATTGAGTTTGACAATAAAATAAGAAGTTCAATGAACTCTGAACAGGAACATTTCAAAAGTTGAATTGAAGTACTTCTTTATCTTAAAACATGAAAATAGAGAAAAAATCCAATGCTAGTGAAAATATGTTTTAAGCATTTGACGTAAAGTCGATTATCCTATTCTGTTATTCCTATATTTTATATTTTTAACCTTTCATTTATGTTGCCAGTACTCGTTGTCGTTTCGATATAATAAAAAAATATGGACCAACTTTTTTTAAATAGTTTTTGTGTAATTTTTTGCTATTATAAATTAGTTTTGATTGTAATACACTAAAAATTGAAAATTTCGGGTCAGTCAATAAGTAACTCAGTCGATTCAGTCTAATATACTTATTACTACTACTTAGGGCTGAACAATACTTACATAAGTACCTAGACTTATGTAAGTATTGTACAGCCTTACCTAAACGTGACAGTAACTCTGTCTGTCTGGCTTTCATGCCAAAGCTACTGAACAGATTTAGCTTACTTTTTAATGCTAACATAGAGAAATGGTAGATATATAAATAAATAAATAGAAATACAATTTTTTTTACAAATTTTCACTGTAGTGTGTAGAAACATAACATACTGCACACGAGAAATTCAGTATTGTGATATTACCAGACACTTAATAATATTGCCTAACTTAATAAGACTTTGAAATTCATCACGAATCACCACTGCCGCCCCTGAGTCCTCTGTGGTCTTCACAGCCTCATCCTTTTCCACATCTTGCGCGAGCATCGTCAATCAACAAAGTTTCTAAAGGCAAACTGGTAATAAAAAGTATCTAATGTTGTTCGCAGGTATACTTAATGTCTCCAACTGTAGTCTTTCTTTATTTTAAAATGTAGCTTTCAGATGCCTGATCATTGCAACATCAATGCCAGTAATAGTTCCATTTACTACACTGCCGTTCTTCAGCTTTATTGTCACTGTTTCGTGACTGAGTTTCATGAAAATTCACAGACGACATTGTCCTTTTAGAAGATGATCCCAAGAAACTAGGACTTATGATAAGAACCATATCAGACATAAGTAGAGATATAGGACTGGAAATGAATCCAAATAAAACAAAGCTGATGACTAACTCTACAGAGGTAAGCATAGAAGTCGATGGAAACAGCTTGGATTACGTGAAAGACTATGTTTATCTGGGGTAAACCATCTCCCCCATAAATGCAATGTTTAAGGAAATAAACAAAAGAATTGTAATTGGATGGAAGAAATACTGGTCCCTGAAAGAAATAATGAAGAGTAAAGATATAAACATGCACATTAAGAGGAAAACTTTCAACACTAGTATCCTACCTTGTATAACATATGGATGTGAAACATGGAGTATGATGGGAATCAAACTAAGTGACAAAATCACAAGCTGGGACATAAGACAGAGAACAAAAGTCACAGATGTACTCTCTAGAATAGACCATTTAAAATGGAATTGGACTGAGCATATGCTAAGGTGCAAAACAAATAAATGGAGCAAGCAAGTGACTCTCTGGTATCCTAGAGACGGAACCAGAAGACAGGGTCGCCAAAGAACACAATGGAAAGATGACATCAACCTAACTATGGGACCATTCTGGAACAGGGTTGCGGAAGACAGAGTTCAGTGGAGAGAGCTGTGGAGGAGGCCTATGCCAAAAGCACACTGAGTTGCTGCACATTTTGCAAATATCAAATGTACCCTTTTAACTTTCAGGAAAAGAGCTATATTATTATTATTGTTATAAGTTTTATTACTATTATTTGATTTTTACATGTAAAATAAGATGCTCTATCACCTTAACCAATATTATATGTAAAATGAATAAGTAAGTCATTGTAGACCATTAAAACTAAAAAATATAATAAAACTTTTAAAAGTTAATTTTCTTTAAAGGATCTCTGAAAAACATATAGAGGCGTACAAACTTAGAGATTCTGCAATGCTTCCAAAATAAAACACTAAAAACTATAACCAGAGCTCCTTGGTTCATAAAGAATACAGAAGTACATGTATATCTAGAAATGCCAACTGTCAAATAGGAGCTACAGAAAGTCCGTGGAAGATATAAACACAGATTAGCCTATATTATAATACTTATGTATCTATGGTAATACTTGTAACACACAAACTCCTATTGTAATCTCATATACTCTTTTCCTCACTCAACCTACTACATATACACCAATCATCATCATAGTTATAAGTAGAAAATATATTAGTTTGTATATGTTTCATTGAAGTACCTTAATATATAAGACACACATATCTCAATACTTTGGGGTTTACAATAACATAGTACATATTACATGTAAAATAGTTATAAGTTTTCTAATTGTAAACCTGTTTTTAATCCTATAAAAACTAAATAAATAAATCACACTTTTAATATCTAATATATGTTATATATTTTTAGGAAGAGAAGTACATAGCAGAGTTTAAAGTACCAAGATTCGTCCTTTATACTCCGTCCAATAATGTAACTGATGAATTAATGACTAAGGTTGGGAAGAAACTGAAGCTGACAAATTATTCTTTCAACCTAGGTATGTAGTAATTCCATTAAAAGACTATAAACTCCTGTACAAAGTATTTGAATTTGCAATTTTGTAAGTATGGATGCAAACTATTACATAGAGTATAAATTTAAGGTCCTACTGAGGGTGTACATAGTGTAGTCATGCATTTTAGAGCAAATTATATATTTAGTGTATGCATATACAACCGATTTGATTGTGAAATCAAACTTACAAATAAAGGACAGTTTTAAATAGCAATAATCTAATTTTTAAAAGCAAAAAGACAAACATCATTTATTTTATTTTATTTATACTCTTTATTGCACCAATTACAGAAAAAAAAAAAAAAAAAACAATTAACATCAGGTGTATACTTGTAATTAATTTATTTAGGTATTTGTAAATATATATAAATAAATAATAATAATTAAAATGTAATTAACTTCTCTTAATTCTTTAGAACACCAATATATTAACAACACTAGCAATAAAGTATATCTAGTGATCATGTGGTCCACAGTCATTATTTTTACAGAGAGCTCTGCTGTAGTATGGTATGGTTCAAACAACCCTGGCTCTGCCTACCTTTTAAGAGATATTTACATTCATGCACCAAATAATATGAAGCTAAATGTTGACTACTGACTTCATTATTTTATTTTGTCTTGAGAATTGTTAGATATATTATCAAAAATATTACCAGTTTACATTTTTTTAAATGTGTTTTTTTTATATACTCGATTGCATTTAATTAATAGTGTTCATTATTTTGATGTTAATTACCACTGTATCAGTAACAAGTTACGTCAAATATAATTTCAATCCAATTTTTGATAGTGCAAGTCTAGAGTGCAGTATAAGATTGATATTGAGACTAGAATCTAGTGTGTTAGAAAGTCTAATGTGTTACCGTATCATATCATAGTATGTATGTGTAAGTGTTCTAACAATAATAATATTTTAATCCAGCACACAATGCCCGAGGTTATCAATCTGTCACAAATGAAACTTCAGTTCTGAACTACATGAAAGACGGCGATGCAATTGTCATATTTCAGGTTAATATTATTATTTATTACCATATTGTTTATATGAAATGTAAGGAATATTCGCATTTGCTCTTACATTCGTATTCACATTAGCTAAATAATTTACGAATGCTTAATTGCTTTAATAAAAAAATACGGATATGTGCATGCGATTCGTGCGGCAACTTAGTTGTTAAAACAGAGAAAACCAAATTGTTCCATATTTTAAAATTATTATTCTCATTTGTTTTTGTGAATATCGGCGACAAATATTCTCGTTCCCATTAGCGAATGCTTAAAATTTATATTCGTTACATCTATGTAGTACACTACCTATGCGTTTTGTATCGATCTGTGTGTATAACTGTTATTTGTTTTCTTGCAGAACAATGGTACTTTACCCTGGACCCATCTAAACTACACAATTAGAATGAAAACACAATTTCACATAAATATATACGAACCGTTGGATGGAAAATACGAGCCACACTTGCTGTATGGTACGTTTCATTTATTATTAACATCATTGAATAGGTACTTTATCTCGTGTGGATACCATATGACAGCGATACTTTCTAAAATACTCCTTAGGTAAGTATTATTTAGAATTTTAGCTTCAATATTATTTCTGATGGTCGGGTTTGCCTGACACAAACCCTGCTCTGTTTGCTCCGCGACATACCCCAACGGTATATTCACAAAGGGATAAATCCTCACTCATTAATATTCGTAAATCGCTAACAGAGGTAACTCTTGGTATGCATACGTGGAGTCTAAACAATAAAGAAAATTAATAGGGTTCCCTAATCAACTAAATGTTAACACTGAATCACAGATAATATCAATATATTAATTTTAAAGTGTTATTTCATATGTATGTTAGTCTATAAGCTATCTATTATATGGGCCTATTTGCTTGAAATAAATAAATTAAGTAAGCATTTTCATTCTTCTCACTGATGAACAACAACATATAACACGTCTTCATATGATAAATCTCTTGCGTTGGGGGAAGGGGATTGTCAATCTAATGATGCCATTGCTAGCAATGTACAAGTAATTTGCCCTCTCCTTGATTCCCCCTGGAATCGAATGTGATAAATTACTGCTGAATTTACCAGCATGTGCCAATTGACCTGACCTTAAAAAAAAACAATGTCATCAGATGTAAATTGGCACATTTGAAAATAATTATAATAAAGTCGATGAAATCACCACTCGGAGTTCAACGAAACTTAGATATAGTAGGGCACCTGACTAATGAATGATGATGAGTGGTCCTTGTGATATAAGCTATGATTAAAGGCGGGGTGGAGTGGTGGATCACTTTCTAGACCGATGAACACGTGTGTAGTTAAAACGGGCCGATTTTATTTAGTATGTTCGAGCTGTTTTGACCACCACTGCTCCGATATTGTCCCTGATTATTGCTTCATCATCGGGGTGTCGTGTGTAGTTTTCTAGTTTTCTACTCTTTAGTGTAGAGACAGTTGTCAAAATACATATAGATACAACCAAATTACTACTGTTTGTTACATATAATTATTATGTTTGAAGAGTATTGTATATTTTAAAAATTATTGGCTATAAATAAAGGTTATTTATATACTGTTTTAAGTTTGACACGGTCATTATTTATACGTATAATTAGGTAAAATCACCACATTTTTATTAAGTTCCCTATATATCGGCAGTGTTTCAACCGCCATGATCACGGGTAAACGCCCGTAAACTTGTGGTTTTTCCTAATTATACGTATAAAGGCTATTATATTTATTTATTATTACGTACAAGAATCGGTATTAATCGTCAGTTTATTCGGATTGGGCAATGTTGTTTAAGGGCCCAAGGGCCACGTACTACATATTGCCATTAGCAATCACAGGACTAAACCATCAGTCTGAAAAAATGTAGTATGTAGACGCTCTTAAATGATGTTATTCATGACTCAACTAACAGTGGGGCCTATGTGGGAGATTTATGTTTTATTTATAATCGAATTTCCAAAAGGAGGTTAAATGTTCTGTTATATGACTTGTGTGTCATACGATTGAATACAATATACACCATAGGGAAGTATAGTTTGCGAGTTTGTCGAACATCAAGGTAATAGATTTTGTAAATTATTAGGATATATATAACATTACGCTCCTGCTAATAGAAGCGAAGCTGCTAGAAGTGATGCAGCCAAAGTTACACAACTCAGCTAGTAACTACTTTTACACTAATATTATAAAGAGATTCAGTATTTTTGAAAATTATCCTCTATGAGTTTCACTCATAGTGTATAATTTGGTTTGCTGTTATTTGGACAGTAAAGTTAGTAAAGGGATAACTTATTTATTTGTGAACCTCACTCCGATCTATCCTCTGTGACATTCAAACGGGGATCGAAATTACCACGGACTGGGCTGACATTCAAGTTCTCTGATTAATGTCATGTAAGTCAGGCAGTTTTTTTTTAAACTACGTTGATGGCAAGCTAGCTTACGGCCCATCTGATGGTAAACTATTACTGTAGCCTATGGATGACTGAACACCAGGGGTGTCACGTGCACGTTGCCGACCCTTAACAAACCTTAAGTTGGCATTAAGGCGTTCTATAAGTCCTTTTGCGGGTTTGGGGTGTCCTCTGTGCTGGGCCTCATTATTTATCCGATAATGCTGTAAAAGCCAGCTACTGTCAATAGCTTTAATAAGAATTCGAAAAAGATAGTCGTTCAAATATAGTGTAACGGTCTGTAATGTAATCCACCTTCCAATACATTGGTTCATTGTCTAAAGAAATTCGCGCTGCGAAAACTATTGATGATAGAACAAAAAGATGTGTCTATGGTTTATAGTTACGTCACAGTAAGTGTTTTTTTGTTTATAAATTTAATTGAAATGCCGCCGCTAGAAAATTCTCTTTATTTTGTATCTTGGTATTAAACCTTATCAAAATAAATTGCCTCATATTAACGATTTCGACGTTTCAATATCTATATACAACTTTGTGAATTATTCAATTTAGACATTCCATTCGAAAGATATCACGTATTTAACAATATAAGTATAGTAAGTAAGTAAAAATGGAATTTTTCCCCTCCAAATTTAAACAGAAATTATATCTTTCTGGATGAGTCCTTAGGTCAAATCGTCCATAATTTAGAAATTTTGATAGATGCTACATAGCCTGACATCGAGAATTTGCACGAAAAAGGCTTTCATTGGTTGTCATCTAGAGCAAAAGTATTACCTAAGAATGATACTGTCATCGAAATAATCTGATTATTCAAAAAGTTCCCGGACAAATAAAAAATTCAATCGACAGCGTGACTAATATCGAAAACGCAATTCTTATCCACAGGAATTTCTACTAAACCCTTCTGGACTGCTACCATGCGATTTGACGTTAAAAATCGGAATTTCTCGAAAGCATGATCCAATCATGATTTTGACAAAACTAAATAATCGAAGGACAATTTAATTGTAGCGACCATTCCCACCGGCACGCGCCACGGCAGCAACTAGCTCTATACCAAGATCTGCCAATACCATTTAAACGGCTTCAATTTCCGGTTAAAATATCTTCTTTGTAATAGACCTATGTATGTTTTGATCTTAAAAAACTACGTGGATTTTGATGCGTTTTTATTTAAAAGACAGAATAGATAGAGTGACTCAAGAGGAAGGTTTAGGATATATAACGTCCCACTACTGAACGCGGATCTTTAAACGCACGATAACCTATTGTTAGGAATGACCTCTAAATTTAATTAAATAACAAAAGAAACTTATAACAAATAGTATAATTAATTTTGACAAAATCAGTACAAGAACTTATAAAGCAAACAAGGTATGATACGGAGATTCGTTCGAGAGAACGTCTGTCGACCAAAAGAGGCCGCACACTTTCGGACTACTCTAATGCTGTTGGCCGTAGCTGGATTTTACAGCTTCACCGGACGTTAGGGGCGAGTGCAGATGGGACTCCAAACCCGCGGAAGGACTTATGGAGCGGCTGACGGCCAACTCCTGCCTGACGGATACGACTTTAGTCTGAGGGGACCACTAGGGGTTCGAACCTCGGCTCAGGCCGTCGTAATTTCGATCCCCGTTTGTATTGGACGGGGGATCGATCGGAGGGGCGCCCGGGGGCGCCGGTGTGGAGCACCCGGTTGAATGCGCGATAATGTGTGTTTGAGGTCGTCGTCTTCGCCGCCAAGGATGGTGTCGTGTGTGTGTGTGTAAAAGTGTGGTCGGGGTGGAACGGGTGGGCCCGTGGGGAGGTTACCTGCCGTTATGGGGTCGTCGGGGTCAATGAGAACGTGCCTCGGGCGACGTTGTCGCATATGTCGGATATTACTCATCGGTGCGTAGTCGACCGCACTGACTATAAGCGGGTTAGGGTGGGATTGGGCAGAGTCGAAGTAGCGTCGAGACGCTTCCTTCATAAACTGCTTGATGGAGGGCAGATTAAGATCGCGGTGGAGATCTACGCTACGAACGAACCACGGCGCACCGGTGGCTCGACGCAGAAACCTATTCTGTATGATCTGTAGTCGGTTAATTAAATAGTAGGGTATGTGGGCGAATACGGGACTAGCGTAAGTCATGATGGGACGGATGCAAGCCTTGTATAATGTCAGCTTGTTGCGAAGCGACATTTTACTGTACTTATTAATAAAAGGATAGAGTCGCCCTAGTATAAAGGCGGCTCGGTCGCGGACACGCTTGATGTGAGAACGAAACGTTAGTTTCCTATCTAGGGTGACGCCGAGGTATTTCGTTTTCGAAAACCACGGGATGTTTTGGCCGAATAGTTCGATCGGGTGATTCATAAAGTCGAATTCCCTGCTAAAGTACACTGCTGCACTTTTTTCGGGATTGACTTCTATGCGCCACCGACGGAACCATTCGCCCAGTATGGTTACGGCTTTCTGAAGCCGTCTGGCTATTGTCACACGGGACTTGGCGGATGTAAAGAGAGCCGTGTCATCGGCAAACAGCGATATTTCGACTTTTAAGTCGGAGAATTTAGGGATGTCGTTGGTGTACAACGAGTAGAGCATCGGAGACAGGACGGCGCCCTGAGGGACGCCGGCTCGTATGGGGTGCGGGTCGGATAATGCTCCGTTTATACGATAGCGATAAGAGCGATTCGACAGGAAGTCTCTTACAATGAGTACTAGCCTGTCGGGGACACCTAACTGATGAAGCTTGTAAATCAAGCCGTTGTGCCAGACTTTATCGAAAGCCTTAGCCACATCGAAAAATAGAACGCCTGTACCGCCTTTGGTGGACTTGGTGGCGAAGTACAGGGTGTTTTTGTGAATGTGCTCCGTGATGCGGTGCCCTTGATGGACACATGAGTGTTTGGCTCGGAAGCCAAACTGCTCATTGATGAGCAGGCCTTTGGAGTATATAAACTCCTTTAGGCGGGCGAGGAGGAGTCGCTCGTACAGCTTGCCTATAGCCTTGAGGAGGCTGATAGGACGATAACTGGACGGGTCGGATT